TAGTTTTAGACTTTTTTATAGTATATATACTAGGATAAATCTAAGTAATATTCTTCTTAAAATATTTATAGAGTATAACTTTAAAATACGAATATTTAGATTAATAATAGATAATATATCTAATAATAAGACCCTAGTTAACTCTCTCTAGTAGGCTCTATTAGATAGTATTATTATTATCTAAATTCTATATCTTATTTATATTATCTAGCTTAGTCTTAACTAGCTTCTTAGCTATATTAAGATAGTATTACTAAATAACTCGGCCGAGATAAAATAGATAGAGAAGTAGATAAGATTAACCTAAGCGAATATATAGTACTAAAAGTATAAGATATCTTATATCTTAAATAAGGTTCGCTATCTTATAGTCTATATAAATATAAGTCTTTAGTATTACGATATATTTTATAATCTCTAAATAATAACTATTAAGTTAGTATCTATCTAAGATATAAGAACTCGATAGAACTTAACCTTCCTAATACTTCGTCGGGTAAAGTATCTATATACTATCTTTATACTATTTTATATAGAGTATAACTATAAAGAGATATTATTTTTATAATAAAGAGTAGCGCTAAATTAACTACCTACTTTATCTAACTAAACTATTCTTTAACTATATAACTTAGCTATTAAAGACTCGAGATATTATAGTATATTATATATTTAAGATATATAATAAGCTTTTTAAGTATCTTAAGTAGTCGATAAAATAGCTACGTCGAAAATATATTCTATAGAAGTAATAGATACTTCTTATACTTAAAGCTAGTCGGTTAAAGCTAGATAAATATTACTCTTAGATAGATAATATTCGAAGGTATATCTATATAATTAGTATAATATTAGTACCTATAAATAAGTTTAAGTTTTTCCTCTTAAAAGACTAGGATTAGTAATAGTAAGATACCTATCGTAAGTCTTTCTAATAAGCTCTACTTCTATACTAAGAGTATTTTATAACTCTTAATTAGTCCGGCGAGGACTCCTAGAGAGTATCTTAGCTAAGTTTAAAGCTTAATAAGATATTAGATAAAAACGAGCTATAACTAAATATAGCTACTAATAAAATAACCTAATACCTTAATAGTAGTATATTTATACTATATCTATATTATAGATATATTATATTAATTTATAAATAGATACTATTTAGATTAGGCTTTTAGTATTCTAGAGAGAATACTAAGCTTATTTTCTAGTAATTATAGCTTTTATATAAGATATACTCTCTTTCTTTATAATAGGTACTAGGGTTAAATAGCTTTTTAATACCGCTCGGGATATCTATTATTACTATTAAGGATAGATAAAATCTTAGATAATCGAAGATTTAATAATATTTCTTTATATATTATAGTTTAATATAGAAGAATAGGAGGCGAAGCTTCTTAAGAAGTTCTTCTCCTATAATAAGATAGAAGTAATAAAAGAAGAGAAGGATAAGAAGCTCGATAAGGTTAAAGTAGAGCTAATTAGTAATACTAAGAAATAGGAGACTATAGTTAATAATAATATAGAGCTAGATAAGGCTTTATCGACTAAGGATAGAGAGTAGATAATCGGTGAATCTTAGCTATTATTACTAAGGAATTATACCTAGATATATATATTAGGAAGAAAGCGTAAGAATCGAGATAATAATCTCTTTAAGTACTATTAGAATAAAGTTATCGAAGCTCTACTATTTACTAGACCTAGTAAAAGGCCTAAATTCTGATAGCTATTAGAAATATAGTAAGGATATTAATAGTCTCTAGGTAATAGATAGCCTAAATTCTAACAGCCGTTAGAAATATAGTAGGGATATTAACCTAATATACTAGAGAGACTATAGCTTATTATACGAATACTTAATATTATAGCCTAAAAATTGTATAAGTTATATAGTTACGGGTCTTAGCGTATTTATAATATTTATGACCTAACTTAGGTTATTAACCTAACGCTGGGTCGAGATTTATAACCCGGACCTAACGCTGGGTCGAAACCTTCGACCTAGAACCTAACCTAGTCCGGGTTGGGTCCGGGTTAGGTCCGGGTTGAGTTAGGTTCTGCGGAAGTCTAATACTTATCCCCTAGTAAGATCCCTACGATAACCCTATCTTCTACCTAGGTAGCCCCGAGCTACCCCGCTCTAGGAAGATAGTATATCTTAGTCTACTATATATCGATAATATAGCGAGATACTATCGATATCCTATACTAAAGTAACTATTATAGTATAAATCCTATATCTTCCTATATTCCTCTAATTCCTTAAGAATTAGTCTTTATTCTAATCTAACTATACTAGTTCTTCTTTATTTGATTAATAGGCCTTTTACCCTATAAATAGACCCTGTAATAATTCTAATTTTTTTTCTTTAATTATCTAAAGAATTATAGTACTAATAAACTACTCTACTATCTCTATTAATAGTAAACTAAATCTTTTAGTATTTACTAATAATCTACTAAGTCTAATCCTAGAAAAAACTTTTTTAACTATAGATATAGCCCTAGATATAAATATCTAAACTATCTAAAAAAGGATCTAAAAGCTAGAAAAGTTAGAAAGCCTATAAGATAAAATAGCTATCTTTAAAACTAAGCTTAATCTAAGAAGTATATCTAATTTCTAATTATATTATTACTAATATATTTATTTATACTCTAAAAAAGATAAGTCTAAAATTAAGTTTAAGAATATCTTAATCTTTAAATTTAACTATATATTTTAGAAATAATAAGAGTAGTTCTTAGATTTTTAATAATCTTTTAAAAGAGCCCCTAAAAAATATAGAACTAAAAAAGAAAATTATCTATATAGTTAACTATATAAAAATAGTCTATTAATAGAGATAGTATAGATATATAGAAAAAAAGATACTAAATATTAATTAAGATCCTAAAAAAAACTAATCTTATTTTAAAGTATAGATCTTAATCTTTATTTAAAATATTACTAGTCTTAAAATAAAAATAAAAATCTAAAGAGAATAGATCTATTAATATTTTAATAAAGATCTAAAAAAGTTCTATATATATCTTAATATTTTAGAGTAATATTCTTTATACTAAATAAAAAAGAAATATATTTTTTTCTTTTTACTAAACTATAATTCAATCTCTAATCTTATATCTATTTATATATTCTCTATCTACTAGAAATAAGAGAGGATATAATTAGTATTATCTATTATTACTAAAAGATCTAATAATCTATTTATAAATAAAAGACTAATAATATTAGAGATAATTATTTTTAAAAATAGCTATATTACTAAGATAATAAGAATAGGATCCTAATTAATAATAAATTATTAAAAAAGGCCTAAATCCTATTAGAAAAGAAAAGATATATCTATAATATTTTAAATATAATAATAAAAGATATCTCTCTCTTAACTATCTTAAAATTATTATAATTATCTAGTTTACTATCTAAAAAGAAATATCTATATAGAGAAAAATAATTAAGTTAGTATAGATCCTATAATATTAACTCTGTATCCTATAGTAGAAATAAATACTTAGTTCTATATCCTAATAACTATATAAGATACTATTAAAATATATATAGATCTAGATAGTAATATAGAAATAGATATAATTAGCTATAACTTTATTAAGGAATACTTAGACCTCGCTAAAGACTAGGCCCAGTCCTAAATCTTAGGACTAGGACTAGACTATACTAAAAAACTAAGGACTGTAGTCTGGTCCTTAGTCTTTTATAGTCCCCTATAGTCCCCTAGAATTTTATAATTCTACTAAGACCTTCCTATTTAGGCTAGTTAAATTAATATTAAATTAATTAGTTAGCTAGAATTGCTATATTTTCTATATAAATCATATATAAATCATATATTTAGTCTATTTTTAGTCCTTAGTCTAGTCCTAAAAAAATTAGGACCGCTAGGCGGTCCTAAAAGTAAGGACCAAGCCCTATATAGTAAAGTCCGGTCCCTGGTCTGGTCTGGTCCCAAGCGGTCTTTAGCAAGGTCTAGAAATACTACCTAAACTAGATAAAATTAATAGAACCTACTATATCTACTATTAACTAATAAGAAATCCTTGTCTATAATATCTAGGAAATCCTTATTTAAGCTATAGACTTATATAGGATAATATATATAATAATAAGACCCTATATAACTATTGATAGAGATCTTTATCTAGAAGAAAGCCTAATCTTTCTCTTAATAACTATATTATATAGCCTTTATATCTATCTTTCTATAATAGATTAATACTAGTAATTTAAAACTACTACTATAGAAATCTTTATACTATAGTAATTTATAAAGATCTATAGGAATTATTAGACTACGCTAAAAACTATAATTAGGGGTAAACCTACCTAAAAACTAAACTAAACTATAAACTATTACAGTTCTGTATTAGGGAACTATTAAAAACTATTTTTATATAAAATCTAGGTCTTAGTATATATAAACCTACTAATTTATATATTTAAATTACTATTATTAGATATTATTCTAGTTATAACCCTACTTAATCTTATTTTTTAACTATAAGAGCTATATAATAGATAGTAATTAATTTATATAAGAACTTATTAGTAGAAGTAATATAATATTCCTTAGTTTTTAAGTATATTAATTATAGGTAGATAGATAATATTGCGGGTAAGAGCATCCCCGCCGGGATAAGATACGCCGGTAACTACTATTTAGCGGGAATAGCAGTAGCTAAGGCAGCTTGTTTACGCTAGGCGATGGCGATATACACGGGCTCCTGAGCTGCCATAGTGAGTGTCGGGAGGACGTAAAGGGTACCCGCGGCCGACCCGCTTAAATACGTACGTACCTATGCGGGGACTACGGAGAAGCCTCGGTCCGCCTAACTGCCTATATACAGTAGGCCGGAGGAAAGATCCAGTCATTAGCCGATGTGGGGTACATGAAAGGAATGGAAACGGAGATAAATACTATCTGAAGACAACAACTTGACCGATAACTTGAGCACTGATATTGGTGGCTTATATTCTATCTAGACCAGAATGTGACTAGTTCGTCAAAGTCTTCCTCTTGTAGGTCCTTGCCGTCTCTCTCCACCCCCGTGATCTTGTGCCGCATGGATGCCGCCTCCTGTAACAATTTTGTTGTCTCATCCTCCTGCCTAGCTTCTGAAAGTACCTTAGCCTTTAGGTATGAAGTCCGCGCTGTCTCCCGAGCATATGTTTCTGAGTCAACGCTCCAATTCTTGAGGGCCTGGTCGATGAATCCGATGGCATCGTCATAAAGCCCGTTGCGAAGGCAATGCTGTGCCATCTTGTGGCAGACATCTGCAGTTCGATGATGGCGGTTGCGGATGGTTGACTGGTATTGCTGAAGGGCCCGTCGATGAAAATCTTCACTCTCCTTGATTCGGCCCTGAGAGAACCGCACGTTTCCAAGTGCGTGGAGGAAGCGACCGGTCCTGCCAGCAAGGATTGGAGCGTTAGCTAAGCGGGGAACAAAAAGCAGAGTAAAACTAGAGTAGATCCCTTACCTGAAACAATGGCTGTCCATGACTCCATAAATTTCTTCTCGATCTGCGAGGCCCATTTCTAGCACTTCAGACGCCCGTGTCAAGTCTCCCTGGAGCCATTGCGTTGTGCCAAGATTGACAAGGGCCAGCGAACGCTTGTCTTTGGTATAGTCCGAGATTTTCTCGTACTCCCGTGCAGACGTCGCAAAACATTCTTCCCCCTTCGTGTATTCGCCAGCCATCATCCATGAAATACCCATCTGGTTATAAGCGCTGGCGAGTTTCTCGTCCACTGCTCCCAGTTCCTCTGCGATAGTCAAGCGTATCTCGAGGACTTTTTTATTATGTTCCATGCTGCTGGCTGCGTCGTTTGTCCCGCTGGCGACTGCACCAAGTGTGTGCCGGATGTCGGATTCTAAGTCTTGGTGATCGATGTCTGTGGTGCGATTGCAGAGGTCTAGGGCCAGCTCCAATAAAGGCTTTATGATAGGCGATTCGCCGCGTTCGTGTTGGTACCTTCATATGGGTCAGCAATCCACGAGAATCGTTATGCACAGAAGGCATCACAAGGACCGCGGTCACCCACCATCCCGCGCGATTGAGAAGTCCAGCAAATTCAAAGTCGCCGTCAACATATTCTTCATGCTTGAAGTGTTTCTTATACGCGTCCTCCAGGCTGATGACATGCGGATAGAGTGCTTTGGATGCCTCCCATAGCTTGACATCATGGCCCTCAACTTCTCCAACCGGCCAGGCAGCTGCGACCATGGTGACCGCGTTTAAAAATACCCTTCGTTGTCGCTCAGGTTCGATTTGGACACGCACAACGTCTCGCGTAACGCGATGCATCCAATACTCAGCCGTGTCCTGATTATGACGAAAAATGGAAGACCCGATCAGTTGCTTCCGAGCATTGTAAAAGGCACCCTGTTTCTTAGGATACGAGGGCATATCCACATTAGTAGCGTGGTCCATCAGGATCTTCTCCTGAATACTGTCTGGGTCCAAAAACGATGAAACTTCCAAAATTGCTCGTGCAGCATTCGACAGCTTCTCCAAGACTGTTGACACGTTGCCACGAGCCGGCTCCCGGGGCGGGTAAACCTCCATCTCGTGGATTTCTCCAGCATCGTAAAGTCTCATAAACTCAGTATAGGTTAAAAAGTCGAGCCTAATTATGCCAGCCATCTGGGCGAGCGCAAGTGGCAGCCCACCAAGTCGGTCACCGACCTGTCTTGCTTCTTCAAGCCGGCCCTGGATCCCTGTAAACTTTTGAACAAACAATCCAGAATCTTCTAGATTGAACGTCTGGACATCGACACACGTTGCATGTTGCGAGAAGCTTGTCCTCGAGAGGGGCTGCGGCTCGTGATCAAGACTGCTCCGCTATTAGCGATGTCACTATATGGCGCCAGGATGTCAGGTTCGTCGGCATTGTCGAACACAACCAGCCAGGAAGCTCGCACTTGGTTCCCGGTACCACGGTCTGTCTTAGACGGGTTGCAAAGCCACTCAATTGCGAGCCCTTTATTGGTGACCTTGTCATCTGGCTCTTTGGGGTCCTGGATTTCTAATTTGATAGCGATCTGGGCAAGGTCCGATTCAAGTTTGGACACATCATCGGCTCGGATCCAGAAAACAGCATCGAAGTCGTTTTCGCGAGTAAACGCGTATTCGATGGCGATTTCTGTCTTCCCTAGACCAGGCATGCCGCATAATATTCCCACACGTATTTGATCGGGCTGCGAAGATGGCAGCGGGTCATTTGAAGGGAGAAGGCAGTCATCAAGTTTGCTTAGAACATCTTGTCTTCCGTAGAAGTCCTTGTTCCTCACATATGTGTCCATCATGAAACAAGGTATTTGGGGGTCACGTTGTTCCACAGAGAAGTTCTCCAGGAGAGCCACGAGAGATTTATGTTCTGGGCTTGATTCAGTTTTAACGTAAGAGGGCGTGCTAGGCTCTGGCCGACTGGAGACTTTGGCTTTAGCAGCCTGTTGCATGACAGCTGAGGCGCAATGTCAGTGATGGATGGTCTATGATATCTATGTAACTCACATTGATGGGGCTGGTTCAGCAATAAGTTATTGCTCGTCGTTTCCACCCTCAAACTCTCCACATCGCGAGCTCCGCCTATATTAGTTCAGTAAGCCGGATCGACGATGTCATGAATGAAACTTTCGTACCGTGGAGTTGAATGACTGACTCCAACCAGCGCCGTATCTGCAATATTGAAGCCCCATGTTCCTCACGCATAGACGGAAGTTGAAGGTGGTCAAGCGGCACGCCGAGTCTATCTTCTGTAGACGTCCTAATCGAACATAAAGGCTCGTCAACGACCTAGGAGGCGTGGGGTTAGCTCGCATCGAAGTTTTTAACATTAAGTAAACTTAGGTTCGAACAATTAACTTCCTCGTCCTGGATCTCAAAGCCCTGGTGCCTTTTATGGGTGTATCTCTCTCCTCAAAGATCGATAATATATTCAAACGTAAATTCGCCAGAGTGAAGCGATCCGCGATGCCGAGAATCAAGCGGAATTCTTTTTTAGTCGTCCGAGGGACTTACTACTTAATACCGTGCCATTGTTGATATCGAGCTTTAATATGCGGGTGAATCGATCACTAAGTTCCTCGTCGTTCACTCCTCCTTCGAGGCGGTGCGGAGTACCAAGGAACACAACGCCAGCCACGGTGTTCAAGAGGTCGGAGTACTGGTCGTTAGGCGTGCCAGCGACACAGAGTGCCTTTTCGATATAAGCATATTGTACGCTTCCTTGCTATTAACTTAGAAATGGGTCGTCGCACCTCTTTCGCGATGGCACCGCCAAGGCCATGACAAATAAACAGTAGAGGTTGCGATTCCTTAATATTCTTAGTAAGTGGACAAAAAGAGGGAAGTGAGGGCTACCTTCTGGTTATCTACTAAAGTTTGAAGCTTTTTAAGAAACTCGGCTCCCTCATCTAGGAGATGCTGCCAGGAGAAGTGGTCGTTCAGAGACGCATCATAATCGTAAGAGTGAATGGTGACCCCAGTGTCCAGTTGTGCGAAGACATCGGTCCAAGGCTGATTACAGAGGGACCAGGAATCACAAGCAAGGGTCCCTACGCCCGGTACGAGAATGATGCTTGGATAATGAGATATTGTACGGCATACAGTTTGGGGGAATGGGAGGCGTACTGGATGTTCTGGGTACCCTCCTTTACGACTTTAAGCCTCCGCAAGGAGCTCGGCTGAGATGACGATGAGCTTCGAACCCGAGGCATATCGATCACCTGAGCTGTTCTCTCTATGCCGTCAAATTAGGTTGGGTGTAGCACGAAGAGCATGTAGGCGAGAAATGGGTGGCTTATGCCGGCGGTGATCGAAATTCACTTCTCTCAAGGTCAAAGATAGGAAACAGCGACCTGATGGTAGGAACAGTAGAGCCTCATAGTGCCAACACACCATTCCAAATTATGCTACAGAAAGGTTTTGATGAGGCAAGTTCGCACATTTTGAACAACTCCAGTTGGTGTACACCCCTGCCCATATAGTATACGGCTTAGGTAGGAATTTGCTCCCAATCTGAAAGACAAACCGGCAAAAAACCAATCAGATTTACTCGTGAAATTCGTTCCAGGAGGCACAGATCTTCGGCCCCTCCGGAGGAAGTCATGCGGAACGAATCGTTTAGCGAGATAATTTCAATGTTGCCGAAGAATCCATGCAAATTTTGGATAGACTAAATGGAATGATGAATTTGGTGCATCAATCGTAGTTGTATTTGAAAGACCTAGTTAATACTGCAAATATTTTTTTATACATAACTGATACTTGTAATCGATCAAGCAAGAGGCCAGCGATGAGTAGCCCAGGTGATCATGAAGCGTGCCGGGGCCACGTCACCTAGTCTGTGCCCCCGCATGGCCACTAAGCCAAGTTTAGCATGTCCAGCGGATACCGCGGGTCCGCCGAGCTCCCCAGTTTTTGGTCAGACTGTTTACAACAATTCCTGGAAGTCTTACGCGATGTATATACGTAGTAAAATATAACTATTCGTTATTTTGTTAATCTAGCGGAGACTATGCTATATAGTATAGAGGAGGTTATCAAGTACGAAGGCTGGCACGCTAGTTATTAAGGGGTTTTTTATGCGAATTAATATTATGAATTTCTTCCGGCAGAAAAATAGTTGGGCCCCTTCGCATGCGGTACTACAGTGCAAATAGTAATGCAATCTAACTATGGATAAGGCGGAAAGAGGCGGTGTACAGATGGGTGTAGAAGGAAGGGGGTTTAAATAATACTCAATTCGCCCTTATATACCCAAACACGTCACTCTAAAGCAACGAAACCATAGAGGATTCCTTGCTCAGAGCAACCGTGAAAGAGGACGCCACTCCAAACCGTTTCACTTGGTGGCTCAGGGACATGTATGTGCAAAGACTTAATGACCCAACGTAAGCGTTCGCGCTTTTGGACTCCCGCGATGTCTAACGCGACACAGCCTTTCGCATTTCGAGGAATTACCGACGTCGTATCAACAATCGCTACCGCACGTTCAAGGATAAAAAGGGAAACCCTGAACAATGGAAACAGGAGCACAGAAATTAGAGCAGCCCTGGAAGTCTGTTAGTGACAGCTTCGGTGAAAGTAGGGCTAGCGACAAGGATATCTTCTATGGTGCCGCTGTTGGGGAGAAGATGTCAGTACCGGGTTCTGCCGGGGAGGTTAACGTGACAATCCTGTATGATACAGGTGATTATGACAATGAGTAAGTCCTTGCAAATGAATACATGTTATGGTTACTAATCTGCAGAGCAAGGAATACGAAGTGTCTTCGCCATGATCTGCCCGCTCAAGAGGTGTCTAATGCGACTCGAGATTGACAAAGAAGGCCTGTGTGTACCAGAAATCAAAAGTACTAGAAATTGAAACCCCTCTATATTTTTGAAAGAGTATTTCTTGAAAAAATACAGGACCTGGTCACATTACTTTTGAAAACATTGCACTCTTGCACCGCTAGTCAGTCCGTTATTTTTATTTTTATTTTTTATTTATTATTATTTCTTTTCAAAAATAGTCCCTGTGGCCAACCATAGCATAGATGATTAAGTTTTATCCCATTAGTGGCAGTTTAATTTATGGCTACTTTACTGGTAAATCCTAGCGGGTGATATAAAGATCATAAGTTATACTGGCTGGATACAGTAATGTGAAATTCTCAACTCTATCAATTTTTCCGCGCAGACTATGGAGCTTCTTGTTGGAAAAAAAGATATTACAGACACCCACCAGTAGGTTCCAATAAGAGGGAGCAATTATGATGTGAAGACGAGGGCCCGCACCTCAATACTATGTCTTGGTTGAACTTTTTCTGGGGCGCTAGGATGAAGGAAAGAAGAATGTGGAACACCTCGGAAAAATGTCAGCACATATTTGAATGACCGTGTAAGGCTGGTGTACTGACATGGACGCCCCTTGCTGTCTCCTTGGAGAAAAACCCATGCTTCGGTGGGCATTTGCTCACTGGCATAGTACCATTGATGCTGTGGGTAATATTCTAGCAATAGGTTTTCTGTTTGGAAGTCCTGGAACACAACGTCTCCGGCGTGGAGAGCGTGTGGGTTGAGGCTGGATGCGTCACAGAGTGCCAAAGGCCAATCTTGAACTGGTCCGCGAATTGGTGCCCAAACACTGTAATTAAAATTAGCTGTGGCCAAATTGGTTAGGGTTAAGCGGAGAAGCCAACAAACTTTATGAACTGATAGTGCTCTCCAGGGAGAAGATGGATTCCGTTTTTGTGATTCAGGCGACGGGCAAGAACGCTTGCCCATTCATTCGTCATGTCTTCGACGGGATATTAGAACTTGAACCCTTTGAAGGAATTATTTACAAACCAATGTGTGCTGCAGTCGTGGGTTGATGGTCTTCATACGTAGTGTCTGTCGCTATTGGAAAGCTCTCGCCCCGTTTCCGAACCTGCTTCATTAGTTTTAGGCGGAGAGGCGGCACATCAAGGCGCACGAACAAGAAACTCAAAAATTTGTATCCTGGATGGATTGAGCATGGATTTCAGGAGCCTGGCAACATTTGGTAAATATGTTTGAACAATCTTGTCTTCGTCGTCGAAATCCTCGTAAGTCATGCCGGAGTCGAACGATTCTAGGGAGAATCCAGTTGTGCTCAGAGAAACTTCATTTTCGCGACCCCGAATATCCTCGATCTTCTGAGGTTGGATTTCGGTCTTTATATTTGACCATGGGAGACCAGACGGCGGAACAAACTTCATTCTGTAAGGTTTCTGTTTATCATATAAGACGTCCCTCGCGAGGAAGTCTATGTTGCCTATGACAGCCATCGTGAGCACCGTGACCAAATGAGAGCTGTGGCAAAGGGTCGTGATATTAGCTTGAGACTGAACAAATCAGATGAAGGAAGAGAAGTGACCAGAGAAGAGGCTACTCGGAATAGTCTTGGCTACCATATCACGTGCTGATTTTTGGTTAATACCCCTGTTGCTTACGGAGAAACTGTCTGGTACCGTACAAGAGCAGACATTCAGAGGGTGACTACATAGGTCTATGGGGAATAATTTTCTAGGGGGCTGGATGCATGTCTAGTCCCCTCTGACCGTACCAGAGAGGGGGCTGGTTTAGAAATATTCGCACACTCAGCTGACCACAACAGATGCAGCCCAACCTGCACGGTACTAATCCACGAGCGAAGTCTTGCGACTCATTGGAGCAACTCGATCTGGAGGTTCTTCTATAGGTGGGAATCATTCGTCGATCGCATATGCCATGAAGAGAAGCCACTGACAATATAGTTCCTCTCTGGCGGTGTGAGAGAGGGAAATCACGGCCCAAATACAGTCCTGCTGCCCTGGCTTAGCGCCCCCGTAACCCCGCTCAAGCCTGTGTATGCCGTGAAATGTGTAATTGCGGCCCAAATGCAGTCTTGCTGCCTTGGCTTGGCGCCCTGGTGAATCCCACTCATCTCTGTGCATACTGTGAAATGTGGAATCACGGCCCAAACATCCGTACAGTCTTGCTGCCTTAGCTTAGTGCCCGGGTGAACCTCGCTTAAGTCTGTGCATATCGTGAAATGTGACACGTGTCACTGCGCTTACGTTTCGTGTTCATATTCTCATGTGAAAACAGATGAGATGCTGGACACAAATATTTGTTGCTCGGGTTTGATCACCGCTGTCACTGCCACATCTGCGACCAAGAAATCCGATCCTAACCGTGCTAAGGGTGTCCCTAGAGCGAGTGATCATTACTCCGGCTCACATGGTGGTCCCACTGGCTTCTGAGGGTAGGTCACAAGAGCGAAATGGGTGTTAGCAGCGTCATACCAGTCATACAAGAACCGATTCTTGAAAAATAGAAACAGATACAATCTGACCGCCACATTCTTCTGCACACCAGAGGTGAAGGTGCCAAATCAGCGGTGAAAATGATTCAGAATCCTCGAAAGTGAGACGCAACCGGTAGCAGCTCAAGTTCATTTTAGAGAATCCCTGATACGATACACCGTACAACCTACAGGATTATCTCTACCACGATCACACTGGCCTGCAATTAACTGAGATTCAAGAGACACTTCTGCACAATATGTCGAATTTCCAGACTAACAGCCTTGCTGCAATGGATCAAAGTCGATAGAGTTTTGTATTTAGACCCTGGGATCTGGTCCTAGGCTGTCGCTTCCTGCACGCCGTCTATACATCCTCCCGGTACATCTCTTCCAAGCTCTCCCGGTTAACTCTCCTATCTCATCATGCCTGAACAGTGCCCAGGTAATAGCTCCTACGGCAAGAGATGCCACAGCCCATGACCAAAATGGTGGAGTGCTGCCAGGGTTGACCTCACGCACGTTCATACCAAACAACGAAGCCACAAACGATAGAGGCACAAAGAAGACGGCTAATTTAGTGAGCCTTGTCACGCTTTGGGCTTCGACCACGGCCTTTTCGGACTCGCGGATAGTCGCACTGTGAGCTGTGATGGTCATCCCCTGTACACACTCGGCAGCTAGGGTTTCCGCGTATGTAAGTGCCGCGCGGTAATCTCCCAGAATCGACTCGACCTCCCGTGTAGGGGGCGTCCTTACATCGCTATTTGGCGTGTTTCCTGGTATGCTCCGCTCATATAGCGACTCGATGGCACCGATAGTTCCTTTGAGGTTTCGAATGTGGCGCCCGAGGACTTGCTGATGATAGAGCAGGTTTGACAGAGTCGGATTGTTATTGCCAATTAGATGAGAATAATTGAGTTCCTCTCTAATCTTGGTGTCAAGAATATCTAGGACTGCCATTTCAGACGAAACTGCCAAATTGAAGAACGGGCTCAAGGCGTATAAGGGATCGTGGACTGCACGCGATAGATCGATATGTCGGTCGTAGTCTGCCAAGACAAAGTCGGCCCTTGTTGACGGCTCGGTAGATTGGGGTTGGTTTCTGAGTGTTCTCCTTCTGCTGTCGGAGGAGACCCCGGGGTTGTGCAGCGGTTTTGGTAGATATTTCAGAAAAGAGTTCGTACGGCTGCTACTAGTCTGCCATGGCCATTTTAACTCCTCACCTAGTTGTCTTAAACCATCATGCCAGACAATGCCTAGCCGGCCTTTTGAAGCAGAAGGGATGTAGATTGAGATAGCTTGCTCTAACGAAAAGCAGTCTAAGTCGTGGACGGAGAACTCTCGAGCAAACGGATCGCCCGCGGTCATATCTGAAGAGTTCAAGAGAGCAAGGTTGCTCGTGTAGGTACTTATCTGCTTAAACGATTCTTTCCGCAGGGTATCTAATTCCTTCTGGTGCTTCATTTGCATGTCTTGGTTCTGCAAGCTAATTGTGGTGACTTGTAATGACAGCATGTCCGAGTGGCAAGATGGGCGTATTTGTACAGCGGTGGGCTTCGACAGTTTTCTTCCAGGTCTCGATGCAAACAGTAGATGTCTTCGGAAGAACTCGGGGTCAATATCAAACCTTGCTCCTAAGACATTTAGCCATTTTGCACAAGGATAACCGCGCAACAGGAGTAACGAAAAGGAGTCACTGTTGGGTATGACTGTCTGACCAAGCTCCTCGAACTGCCTTATTGTCTCAAATGGGATCCGGGTCATCATTTTATTAGAAATGTTGTATAGTGAAACGAAGCAGCAAGTCGGTTCTACTGCCGGAAAAGGTGAATTCAGCCGTGGTGGTCTGGGGGTATACGGCTGCGAAAGGAAATTTGCGAAGTCTCCAAAGTCGTCAACCGGGTATAGTGACTGCTCCGACTTTGTCTCTGCGCGAGAACGGACCTTTCTAGCATATTCCTGAGCGATGCCTACATGATAAATATGGTCAGCATGTTTCAGGCAGAAAGGGTCGAAAGCGTACCATCCCGTGTCTGAAGGGACACTGTTTTCATTCCTTCCTATTCCTTCGCTGTTTTGGTTGTTCTCTCTTGGTGCCATGTAGATTCTAGTTGATAATGAAGGTGGTCGCAATATGAATAGACTGGGTGAGTATTCGTTCCTTGAGCACAGAGTAACTGAATCTCTTTACGCAGCCAAGATTATATGAGTGAGTTAAATTGCCATTAACGATCTGAGAGATAAAAGCCGAGTGAAAAACATGAACAGAAAGTAACAGCAGCTCTGCTTTGCCTCTGGTATCCGTGCCCAATAGTCACTCCACCACCCAGGGCACATATTGATCAACTCCACGTAAGCCTTGGCTCACCCGGGTGATTTCTCAGGTGGGCCTGTGCTGAACTCTTAACCTTCTCAGCCTCTTATCATACCCTACACAACACTGTTTTACGCCATGTCTAGTTTCTTAGTGCCGTACTCCTGCTTTCCCTCGACACCGCACAGGTGAAGAATCGCCACGGCTGTATCATCCCAGTGGTGCTCCTGTGCGACTGCCATTTTAGCCCAAGGAGCGAGAATGAGGGGTCGGATCGAGGGGCATTAGCGGTATCTCCAGTAAAATAAGAGGGACAGTGCGTCGGGCTGGAAGACAAGGCGCAGTTGTCGGTGGGGGGTAGACCTCGCCAAAGACCGCTTAGGACCGGACCAGACCGGGGACCGGACCGCACCATGCAGGGCTTGGTCCTTACTTTTAGGACCGCACCAAGGACCGAAAAAAGACCAAACACGTGATTTATGTATAATTTATGTAGAAAATATAGCAATTTTAGCTAACTAATCACTTTATTATTAATTTAACTAGCCTAAATAGGAAGGTCTTGGCAGATCTTGGCAGAATTATGAAATTCCGGGGGACCGCGGGGGACCGTAAAGGACTAAGGACCGGACCGCGGTCCTTAGTTTTTTAGTATGGTCCGGTCCCGGTCCTAAGATTTAGGACCGGACCCGGTCTTTGGCGAGGTCTACTCCAGACAAGTAGGCCCTATTATCAGCCCTATTAGTAGGCCCTGGTAGGTCCTATATCTTATAGTCTAAAACTATAAAGATCGCTAAAGGACCACTAAAAGACTATAAAGACTACTAAGGGACTACTAAAAGACTATAAGAACTACTAAAAGACCTTAAAGACCGCTAAAAGACTACTATCCCTATTTAAAGACTATTACCTTAGGGATAGTAGATTATATATAGATTTTTAATAGCTATTATAGCTATTAGAGATATAGGCTAAAAAATATTAATAATAGTAATAAATATAGCTAAATTATTAGTTTATACGGCCGAAAAAGGAAGGTCTTAGTAGAATTATAAATATACGAGGGACTGCGCGGGGGACCGTAAAGGAATATAGGGGACCGTAGTACGGTCCTGACTACTTCGAAAAAAGACCAAGGACCGGACCCAGTCTTTGCCGAGGTCTACCGTTGATCTGTATAGCCGCTCAGGTATCACGACTTTGTAGGACTCGATGAAGAATGCGAAGCCGCTGTGACTTTGCGTGTCTTAATTTAATCCGGCGCCAATGTGGGCATGTCAAACTCCAACGGCCAAACTGCTCTGGCTGAAGTCGCTCAGCATCAATACCTCCAACGTGTCGGAATACTCCACGATGAAGTAGGGGATGATCCTCTACTTAGGATGGAGACAAACACTCACGCGCTCCAGCGAGGTATAGGAGAGCTGTGTGGACGGGAATAATTCGAACTATGTTCCGGAAGAAAAACATTTTGAGAAAGGTCCTACAAGGATATCGCCACAATCTCACGGCAGTGGCAGTGGTAGTCTAGACACTCTATAACACAATAACACACGAGGCATCCCTGCTCCGGCCCCCACGTGTTCGAAAATTAAAAATCGCAAGAGGCTGAGATTGCATTAACTCCCACCCTACCTCCTCCCGGGGAATCGATGGGATCTATTTTGGCTAGACAAACAAAAGTACAGATCTGAGTCCCAATGAAGAGCCAGTGAAACCCCTCCAGCAGCCCTGAGTCCTCCTCTCAGATACCCGCACCAGCTCCCAGATCCAGGTCGCAGGTCGGAAGATGCAAGCACCCCAGTCCCGCCCGATCAAAAAACCCCGAATCTCTCTGAGTTGCATTGTCTGTCGCCGACGCAAGGTTAGCTGCGGCCGCAAACAGCCAGAATGCGCCAACTGTGTGCGGATGAAGGAGACCTGCGTCTACCAGGCCATGGCACGGGATGAGCCCACCGGCCGTGTACGACCAGCATCCCCGTCGCCGCAGAACGGTCATTACGGTGGATCACAGTCCGTGGGCACGTCCTACACGGCCGTGCCCTCGTGGAAAGAGGCCATCCAGTTCCCGAATGACCCTGTTGCGAACCCTCCCTGCGCGTGCGGTATCACAGCAACCTCCCGGGGTCCGTTCGAGTTCCCAGAGACAACCGCATACCCCTTTCCGACCTCCACCGATCCCAATGGTCCCAGACCGACTCTACTCTGTCGCGATCATCTCAGTCTACGCCGGGGCGGCCATGTTCGATACATCGGTCCAACGTTCTGGGGCTTCGTTGCTGGAAAAGTGAGCTGCACCTTGCAAGAAGAGCTGTTCCGTGCAATTCTTCATTTTTCATGTGCTCATGTGGATTTGATATCCAGAACAAAGACAGAAAATAGCTGACCTCGCTGGATCTCTTACAGGAGAGTCTGAGCGGTGATTTCCTTGACGAAAATCACCATGCACCCCCCGACCTACCTCTGCCTCATATCTCCTCCCATGGGCATGTTCAATCTCCTTCGCTCCTTACCCACGAAACCTGTCAGTGATGTCTTGCTCGAATCGCTCTTCGTTGCCGTGTGGCCACTGTCTTCCCTTCTGCACCCGCCTACCCTCCAGGCAGATTACGACCAGTTCTGGGACTAGTGTCGGAATAGCGATAGCGCCTTGCCCTCGGAAAAGCTCCTTGATGACCCGACCTTGATCTGTCTTCTTTTTGCCCCGCGCCAGCCGCCAGCTGGACATATTTCAGCCTTCATGGTCTACAAAATGAGACAACCGTAAGTCACCTCGAAGTGGCATATACGACGAGCCTTTCTTTGTGTCAGCATCAGGAACATCTGACTATTAATACTCTGATTTCAACTTTGCTGACTAGACCGTTTCTGGACCGCCCTTTGGACCCGATGCGTAACCTGCTTCATCTGCGCTAAATCCCATGGACCGCGGAATTCGACGTCGGGTTTGGTGGCACATTGTCTGGCTCGATGTGCAGTCGAGTATCGCCACCGGGCTGAACCTCTGCTGTGGCCCCGAGACCCTCGAGGCCGTGAGAATGGTGGACTTGGACGATGAAGAAAGCGGCGAACTGCCTGGTGGGACTTCCCCATCCAACAAATCTATGGCTGGTGGACAGTCAGTCGCGATCATATACGCCATCGGGCGCTTTCAGATAGCCCGCTTACAAGCAAGGATCGTCGCGCACCTGCAAAGTCCCCAGGGTCCGACCGAAGAGGGATTTGGAAAGCTTGTCGCAGATGCAAAGCTGCTTCTACAGAAGATGAACTCGCTCATCGCTCTTGTTTCGACGCAAGGAGTCCCGGAAAAGGGCTACATCTCATCCCGACTAGCCAATGTATCTCCATTCACCCATCCGTCATTGTACAAGGACGATGCCAGCCAGCCGACTGTCTTTGCAGCATGGACACGCATCATGTTGACATTGATGAAGTTTGAACTCGTGATCTTACTGCGGAAACCATTTTTGGTGCCTCTTGACACTGCGAATCCGCAATCACGTAAATCATGGACTAGGTAAAAACCTTTTTATATTTCGAGTTTCATCACTGTTCCCCCCTCATATCGCATTGCTGGTATTATGTGTGCTTTGCACCTAGAGCAGACCATGGCTATATCCTGATCACTTCCCTTTTTCACGTCGTTGTGGCAACAAGCCTACTGACAAGCGATCGAATCTATAGCATCGTACAGCTCTGCGTGAACTATTTAAGTATATACCTGCAGCTCCACCAAACACCTGCGTTCGCTCCATACGCATGGTTCTGCTGCAGTCATTATGGGCCTTCTCAATGTGTGTTCATCACGCTAATGTACCTCCATTCATTCCCGGACGCGGGGGAGATCTTCCTGGCCCGATATCTCGTCGACGAGGTTATACAACACTACGCGACTCATTACCAAATTTCTGACCCCTCGTCAACTTCATCAACGAAGAACAACTCGGAAGAACCCGCGTCCAATGGAGGCAAAATGCGGATGCCTTTGGCCATCCAGGTCCTGGTGGAACTTCACGATCGCCTCGACTCTTCTGGTGGACCGTCCTCCGCCAATCGCACCAACCACAATTGCGAAACTCCGCCCATTGTTACAGGACCCCCGCCAGTAGTGGCTGCGGGCAGCAAACCAGGGCTGCGGAATAGCGTCTTTGAAGCTGAAAGTGATTCTGGCCGAAATACGGACTTCCTCACGACTCTCTCGGATCTCGAGGCCTGGTCGTCGATGATTATTCTGGAATCTGACGATATTCTCGCCAATCCTGATAACCTGATGACTGATCACGCAATCATGCCAGGATTGGGCGCGTCCAATACGACGTGCGACCCGTCTGTTCTATCTGGAGGTCTTACTTTCCCAGCCTAATGCCATTATATAAATATCTAACAAATATGGACTTATGTGCGACCTGTTAGTTGCTAGTGCTAGTGGCAAGTTATCCCTTTATATTCTGAGAGGTTGCTACTGTAATTATGCATGAACTCGCTACGCACGTCCCACCGGAAGATCCAAAGTACACGCGCGCGCGCGACACTCCTCACATTTCTCTCCCAACCAACGAGAACCACGGAAGGCAAAACATCTTTAGTCAGAAACAAGGGCACCAGGCACCCAGATAAAATTTCAATATTTACACACACAGGCACGGGTCACAGACAGAAGCCCGTCGAGTCCGAGTTAGGGGAAGAGGCCAGGGAATGCACACACGGCGCACGCGCGTGCGAAGAGCAGATCAGATATCAATATCGACAAAGGGGTGAGGAACGCTAGAGAATCGCTCGCACTCGAATAGAACAGGGACAGGGCAGGACAAGGGAAGTAGCTGGGGCGGGGCGGACAGATGAAGAGGATTGAATGGGGCGTGGGTAGGGGGTAAATGCAAGGGTGAGAAAAGCAAGATGCGTGTAGATGTAACGCCCGAACCCACGCAACTTTTACAGACACCGGTAGCCGGAGACGCCATGCAAGGACCGAAGGAGGGAATGGATTAGATCAAAACAGAGTGGAAGAGTGAGTGAGAGTGGGTGTGATGAGGTAGGGAATCGAACTAAAGAGAGAAGGGTGCGCCAATGCGTTGGATATGCAATGCAGCGATAACATCGTTACCGCTCCGCCTGGAGATTAAGCCAACTCATATCGGAGTTGACGTTATTGCTCCGCCCCGGCGTCGGCAACTCATCGATATCGCTCGGGATCACAACACTCGAGCGGCGGCCGTTCGAGTGCCGCGGCAACTGCGAATTCAAACCCGGCGGATCCCGCGTGCTGCTGTCATAGAAGCTCGTGCTGTAGTTGCTACTGGGGGGGCGACCGAGCCAGCTGGACTGGTGTGCGCCGGTCCAATTCGTGTCGTGCGGGTCGTCGTCACTGGCAATGCTAATCGAGTCGGCGCTGGATATCCGTGCGCTTTGGCTCTCGGGGATGGCGAGTCTGCGGTCCGAAGATGCGTGCTCGGTCGTCGGGCTACCGCTGTTCACGCGGCCCAACGGCTTGGGCTGGTCGAGGAAGCCCAAGTTTAACGGGGCCAGATTTGACATAGGCCAGGCGCTGCCGCGATAGTCGGATTTCGTGTAGACGGAGCTTGTGGTTGAACGATCGGATGGCATTCCGGCGAGGTTCGACGCCCTGTTATCTTGGAAGTATTTGCCCCAGCCTTCGTCGGTGGTGCGGTCACCGGGCTTGTGGCCCAGTTCGGAGGGCGCGGGGTCGCTGTTGCGGTAGGCGTCTTCAGAATACATGCTGGATGGGGCGAGGCCACTGGATGGAATGGGAGAGAGTGGTTTACTATGGCGGGGCGCCGCCGACAGGCCATATCCAAGGTTGGAGGAGGGAGGCATGAGAGCTTTCTCCCCGGAGTACTTGCCGGACATGATCGCTAGCGAGTCGACCGACATCGAGGCGAAGGGAACGGGGCTCTTGGCCATGGGGTAGGCGCGGTTGGCCAGGGGTTCTATGCCCTGGTCCTGGAAACTCAGTCGGTCCTTGTTGTCACCGCCGCGGGCCTGGCCATTCTGCTCTCTCTTTATTCTTTCGCGTTTAAGCAGCCACAAGATCAGAAGCAGAATTAGGGCAACACCGCATGCACTGCCCAGGGTAGCGCCAATGATGACCTTGGAGTCAGTGTGGGAACTACCGCCAGCAGCAGCAGCGGCGGTGGTAGTAGAGCTGGGGGTCGCGCTGGCCGAGGTCGAAGCCGAAGTAGTCGGCGTGGCTGTCGGGGTCATGGTAGTCGATGTGGTGGTAGTCGCCGTCAGAACGTGCTGTTCACTTTTGCCTTGGAAGAGTTCTGTCGAGTTGACCCAGCTGTTGGAGGTTTGGTTGAATATGACGAGCGCATTTTGGCTCTGGCCACTCGAGAGAACAACCATACCATTACTTCCCTGGGCTAGAGCGTAATCCGACCACTTGTTGCTGGGAGCAAGCGTGTCGTTGTAGGTGGGATATTCGCCTGTACTCCGTTTCTTCGACGCCGAGCCAACCGCCACGGCAGGGCTCTCCGACTTCCCATCGGAGCTGATAAGCTCGTAATTAACCACAGAGTTCGGGGAAGCATCCATGTTGAAATATTCCAGCACCTTGCTGTCTCCCGATCCGGAGAAGAGGGCCAGCGGAGTAGAAGGTGAAAGGCCGGACCGAAGGCTCACAGGTGAGTTTGCCCATCCTGTGGAGATGCTGTAGGTGTAGACGGCCAAGTTGTTTTCGTCCCCACCAAACATGCCCACGTGGGACGAATTCCAAGGGAGCAGTTGGGGGCTACTCAAGCAGGGAGCTCCATGGTCGAGCTCGGAGGTTATGACATAAGGTGGTGCTGTTGAGATCCGGTAGGACGAGCAAGAAATACCCGACTTGTCACCCTGATTACCGGCATAAACAATGATTGAGGAATTAGACGCGACGAATGCGGCACCATGGCCCGTCCAATCCGTCACGACCGTTGGCGCAGACCCAAGAGTTTGCCATTTCTGATCCTTGAAAGAAAACCTTTGCAGCCCGGAATAGGTGTCGTTAGAGTTGGTGGCGGTCCCGCCGACCACATACAACGCTTCGTCGTCGTCCTGGCTGCCGTCTATCCCGCCTTTCAAGCAGACGGCATTGGAGACAGAGACTCCGCCATTCAATGGAATCCATGTCCCATTGACTTTGAGCGGAATTGATAAGAAGCCTGTGGAGGAATAGGCATACAGCGTGTTACCGGAGATGACGGAGCAATGCCCCGTTAGTGCAATCGGGGGTTCGGGCACGGTCATGGCGAAATGAATATGCGAAAGAAAGAACGAGATGATGATACAAGACCAATGAAAGAATGCGGATGGCCAGCCTCGCGGGAAGGGGACCTAAAAAAGACCAATGACCAGTGGGTAGAGAAAGGAGGGTGACTGCCAGAGCACTATCTCATTTCGGCCGAGGGAAGTCGCGGTGAGACGCCAGCGTTCGGCGTGGCAGGTCAACGTGGCGACGGCGCAATCCCGATGAGGCTAATGACGCTGTTGTGTGGTATGTTGGTTTAGGTTCCGACAGCTGTCAATTCACGGTGCAAGAATGTAGTGTGGAGTCAAGTATCGGGAGAATCGCGAGTCGTCCAGCTCGCGTATGTCGGGGAAGGCTGCCGTTGGGGTTGGTGGCCTCGGGCGCGTCTAAAGTCACAGTCGAAAGTCGTGGATTCGAACCGCACAAGCGATGAGGACCGTCGGAGATTTGAAAGATCAGAGGCAAGCTGCAGCACGCGCAGAGAGAAGGGCTGTAGAGAACGAGGCCGGCGACGGGTCGCGGCGAAGGAAAGCTGGGGCAGGAGGATGAGTACACGCAATCAAAACAACGCAACAAGACAGCAGAGACTGACCGAATGGAGAGTGCACAGCACAAGGGAGTGAAAACAACAGATAACAAGGCCAGGAGGAGGGGTGGGAAAGAGAGGGAGGAGGTGAGACACAAGCCCCCTAAAGGACAGGCACCAACAGGAGGTTAGCTGCCGGAGAGTTAGCGACCCCCGCCCCTGAGCCCATTTCGTCATGGGCTAACTTCATTTCCAGCCGTTGATCTGCCAGGATTCCCGCGTCCGCCGTGCTGGCCCTGCCATTGGCTCTGGCTATGCTATTATGCTATTATGCCATTCGATGCTATTCGACACTGTACAGATCACACGGTCGTTTTCCTATTGAGTCTCTATCATGCTTGCTCCGCCGCTGGGTTCGGTTCCTGTTCCTGGCTGACTGTTTGGCGCCCGCTTCTCAGGAACCTCCTGCCAACTTCGCCTTTTTTCACTCCACAGGAGTCGAGTCCAAGTCAGACAGGGCTGGAGAGCCTGAAGCCTGAATCGCCTAAGCAAGGCTACTACCTCCTTACAGCAAAATCGTGAACGATCAGTCTGTCAACATATAACCCCCCCCCCCCCCTGTTTCCCAGCCTCTGCGCTCTCTCGCGATCCACGGTTGGTCCGGTGGGCCGCAAGAACCTCGGAAACAATCCATCACACTTGGCTCGTGCGCCGATCGGTGCCAACCGTACAGAGACCCTACGCGAGGGCCCGGCAGTGGTGTGATGGCACCGGTACAGGCGTCTAGCAAGCACCCTATTGCATGCGAGATCCCGTGCAGCGTCTGCGGACCAGCCGTCGATATTATAGGTCCTCCCAGTCTGACTCTACGGCACTTCCAGTCCAAGGTGAGCCGCGTAGCCCCGTGGAATTTTCATGGAAGCTCCAACCTCCACTTCAATCCCCCCGTGTTTCGCCCCAATCTCCAAAGGGCTTCGGGGCCTCCACTTAGCGTCGGTATGGGCGTTTGGGCGTTTAGCCCCGTGAGTGGACGCGAGTGGATATTGCGCGGGAGGCAGCATCACACGGTACAACTAGCTGCCGCTATTAAGATTGGATCAAGGGGGGTCACTATTTATGCCAGCCATAATGCAAGAAACAGCGAAGGGATAGATCGCTTAGGCAGATGCAGGTACGGAGTACAAACGGACACCTCTGGCGCACAGCCCTCCTCCGGCCCCTCAGCCCACACTAGTCGGTCGCACAGGCGGAGGCCCGCGAGATATTCTTCTGGATTTCGATGCCCTCTGGGCCTACGAAAGATAACTACTCGGGGGACCAGCTGAGCTCCCGGGAAGCTTCTTCAATCCTGCGATCGGAGCATGGGGAAATAACAATGGGGTCGTCCCCGGGTGGGAACACGGGCGTCGCATTTTGAAAGAACCGCCGAGCGGTGGGAAATTACTATAACACAGGGAGCCAATGAGTCCTGGCCCAGGTCCGGATGGACATATTGACATTGTTGACACACATAATGCGCCCCCCTCATCGTCAAACTCGTCCAATGCCTCCCCTACTTCATGCTTGCGTCTGCTTCCACTGGTGGGCCCGCTGGAGCAGGCGCGACAGGTTGGCGGCCGACTTGTCATCTGCCGGGAACACGTAGTCCATGTACTCCTCGTAGCGGTCATCCTCCAGCTTGCGGCGCTTCTTGACGCGCCGCGGCATCTGCCCTTCGATCTTCTCGATATCCTCGGACGAGCCGTGCGTGTTCTCGAACGAGCGCCAGGCGATGAGTAGTTCCACTCGCTGTGAGAGAGTTAGCCTGGAACCAGACGAATAATACTATGTATGACAGCAACCACAGTGCACGTACCTCTTCCTTGAGCTCCTTATCCTTGAACACCTTATGTGCCCGCTCGAAGACCGCCCGCGCCCGGCGTTTCGCTTCCTCGCTGACCGGCCGGGCCTCCTCGTCCTCCTCCTCCTCGTCGTCTTCGGGCACGTTGATCTCGAACCGGGCGTAGTTGATCCACACCTTGACATGATCCGTCTTTGAAAGCAGACGCTCGTACAACGCGCGTACACGATCGTACTCTCCCTCATCCTCTTCAAAGTCAATGTAGGACTTCCACACCAGCTCGGGCATATCGAGTGTCGGCTGGTCGATGCCAAGTTCGTAGAGCGCCCGCGCCCGCTCCAAATCATCCAGGCCACGCTCAAGCTCGGCATACTGGATCCAGGACTGGCTGTTGGAGGAGTTCCACTCGAGCTGCTTCTCATACAGGGTCCGGCACCGCACGAACTCGAATAGCTGTCGCTCGAGGTCGATGTAGCCGCGGAAAAGTTTGTCCTTCGGGCACATGCCGATGGCGTGGCCCAGCGTCTTGCGCGCGGCCTGCAGCTCCATCTGCCGGATCTCAAATTGCGCCTTCATGAGCCACACCTTGGCGAACGTGAACTTCTTGTGCGGGATGAGCTTGATGCATTCTTGGTAGATCTGTCGCGCGCGATCCATGTCTTTAGCTTCCATCTCTTCCCACACCGCGTAGAAGATCCAGAGGTAGATATACCGCCGCCAGTGTCGCTTTTCCTGTGACGGGGGGATCTGTGCAATAGCTCGTTCGTAAATATCTCGCACGCGGTCGGGGTTGCCTGCCGTTTCTTCGAGTCGGGCAAAGTCAAACCAGATGTCGTAATTCCGGGGGTTCTCCTTGAGCTGTTCTTCATATTGCACGCGGCGCTTGGATAAGATAACATCCTCAACGCCTTCCCGATCACCAAACTGTTTTTCGAAGGTGGTATAGGCCTTGTGCAGGATCATCGACTTGGACCGTGGGAGGCGGTCTAGAGCATATTTGTAGATTGCCCGCGCGCGCTCATATTCCTTCAGCTTAGCCTCGAACTTGGCGTAGGCTACAAAGAGCTTCTCGTCCATAAAGTCCTCTCCCAGCGTCTCGATGGCCAGCCCATAGACTTCGCGGACCAGATCGCTTGTGCCGAACTCCTCCTCAAACCGAGCCCACTTGATCCAATTCTTCGGTTCGGGGTGGACGATGGTAAAGCGCTGGAAAATGGCGCGCGCGCGCTCGAACTCATTATATCGCTTCTCCAGCTTGATATATGCGCCCCATGCACCCTCCTCCGGTTCCCACGACATCCATCGTTCAAAAACCTGCCGGGAGCCGGGGATATTGCCTAGCGTCTCTTCCATGTACACATACTTATACCAGAGCTTGTCCACGCGCGGCAGGATCGTCACAGCGCGGTCGAGGAGGTTGCGGGCGTGGTTGATATTCCGGGTCTTCATCTCGGCTTCGATGTAGCGAATCCATAGGACGACGGAGGTCGAGTCGACGTCCAATGCGCGCTCGAAGATCGACCGCGCCCGGCGGAATTCTTTCTGTTCCAGTTCCCAGGCCGCATAGCGCATCCAATTGTTCATGTTAATGCGGTTGCGCCGCACATAGTCCTCGAATTCCTTGCGCTTCCGGCCCTGGTACTCGTGTAATTCCTCAAGATCGGCGAAGCGCTGGGTCGGTGCCTGGAGGCCGGGCTCCTGCCGGTCGACAGCCTCACGCAGCAGCTGCTCTGCGGAAATCTGGATCGGCGCCGGGGCCTTATTCTTGACCCTGGGAGGGCCTCGTGATGCCTCCATCGTGAAGGTTTGTTGTGTAAATATGCTGGCTAAGAGCTTGCGTCGAGACTAGCCGTTGGAGCTGTGTCGGGGAGGTCTGGCTGGTATTTGCTTCCGAGTTGAAAGGGTTTGGATGGGAAAGTGAGAGGGTGAGAGAATTGACAGGCGCACGAAGTCGCAGGCAATTCGAATCACAAAAGAGCACAACGGCCCGTCCCAGCCCAAAATGAAAGGTGTCAATGTTGTGTCTGCGATTATCACGACTCGCCGATGAAATCGACGAGCCTGCGCTTGTGGTCCATCTTGCCACCCGCAAAAGCTCTGGCGTGACTAAGCGCAGCTCTCTACGTAAGTTAGGTCCTGCCGCGATTTGCTTCGTGAATTATCCGATCCTCCATCTTGCCCCGGTGGCGTCCTGGGAAGACTTCTTGAATACTTGTTCTGCCTCCTAAATCATCTAATCACCTATCACCCGTGTCCTAACGCCACCATGTCCGCCGCTGATGAGCTGCTGCGCGACTTCGAGGAAGATGAAGACTTCCAGGATGAGGAGCAGATCGAACAACATGACCTCGAAGAAGAACAAGCCCCAGAAGAAGGCGCAAAGCCATCCAACGAATTCGATCTTTCCATCGAGACCGCCGACGAATTAACACGGCTACACAAAGCCTTGCGCGATCATTATTCCGTCCGATTTCCAGAACTAGAAACCCTCGTCACCAACTCGATCAAATACGCGAAAACCGTTGCCATCCTTAAAAATGGACCCCTTGATGACATCAAAGCTCTTTCAAATTCGGCAGACAATATGGTCGGCGAGCCACTCAAGTCCGTCCTGGACGGTCCATCCCTCATGGTAGTGGCGGTGGAGGGCACAACAACTCGTGGCCGGGAAATGACCGAGTCCGAGCTCAAAGTAGTCCTCGATACATGCGAGAGGATCCTTAAGCTGGACCGCGAGCGCACTGCTCTTACAGAGAGCATTCGGTCTCGCGTAAACTCGATTGCCCCCAATTTGGCGGTGTTGATCGGGTCCCATACCGCGGCGCAGTTTCTCAACCAGACTGGTGGCTTGCTCGAGCTGGCCAAAATCCCGGCATGTAATTTGGGTGCTCAAGGCTCAAGGAGGCAGGAGGGGCTGGGCTTTGCTACAAACATTGGCATTCGGTCACAGGGCTTTTTGTACGACTCCCCGCTCATCCAGGAAGTCCCGAATGACCTGAAGAAACAAGCCATTCGGATCGTCGCTGCTAAGATGGTTTTGGCCACGCGCGCAGACGTTGCCAACTACAACAAGGATGGCTCGTTGGGCGAGGATCTAAAAGAGCAATGTTTCAAGCGGTTGGAGAAGTTGACTGAGCCTGCGCCGAATTCGGGAGTGAAAGCACTTCCTGCACCAGACGACAAGCCTTCCCGGAAGCGAGGAGGACGACGTGCACGCAAGGCCAAGGAGGCCATCGCCATGACGGAGCTACGAAAAGCACAGAACCGCGTTGCTTTTGGCAAAGAAGAGGCAGAAGTGGGATACGGCACAGGCGAAGGCACTGTGGGTCTGGGTATGCTGGGCCAGCAGAACGACGGGCGTATCCGAGCGACACAAATCGACCAGCGCACTCGCGCGAAGCTCAGCAAGAACAACAAGGGCTGGGGTGCAGCCACTCCTGGCAGCGGTACTGCTTCGTCGCTGCGTGGCTTTGGTCAGGGCGGCTCGATGGGTACTGCCAGTGTGCTGCAATCCAAGGGCCTCCGCTCATCAGGTGTCGGATCCTTGTCCGCCACCGCTGGTACTGCCAGTACGATCGCTTTCACGCCTGTCCAAGGTCTGGAACTTGTCGATCCTAAGGTGCAGGCTGAGTTGAACCGCAAGCGCAAAGCTGATGAAGACCGTTGGTTCAACTCTGGAACATTTACCCAGGTTGGCGGTGGCGCTCAGAGCAGCACCAATCCTCAGAAGGATCGCGACGGTTTCAAGGTACCGGCTCTTCCGCCCAAAAAGAAGGTTGACACCGGAAATGGCAGGATGGGCCCACCACCCAAGCCATAGGACGTTTCATAGGTCATTCGCATGCGCGTTCCATTATGACTGTTACTTGCGGGTCTGAGCATTTTCTGGGCGGCGTTTGGGGAGAGGACGATCAGGCGGCAGGTTTGCTGCCGTGCTACATCGAGCACGTGATACCATTTCTTGTACAGTAGATCGGCCACAGAGGACCAATTGAAATGATCTGAAACTAAAAAGAAAGGACAAGTTTTGCCTCCAGGCATTTGGTTCCTCGCGGGAAGCCACCGCTCTCATACCGATGTAGTGGTATACGTCTCCAGGCTCACACCGACTCGTTCGCCGGAGCGATATCCCCCGCCGCAAATTCCAATTAGGGTTTGCACGTCACGATACACGTGGAAAACCACGTCAATGTTTCAAAAAGCGAATTCGGTTGACAGAAGATTAATGCCTTCCGGAATACAACTTTGTCCCGAAGCCGTTACCCGTTACCGGGGGATGTGCCGCCACTTCAATGGGTAGCCGATTTTTTTTGTTGACCCAAACTTTGGGGCCGCCGCCGTGGCACTCGGTCAATATGGCGTGCTCTAACCATGCCCTTTGCTCAGCAGTTTTTTCGCAATCTCGTGGAATGTGGTACAAATAGGAGAGCCGTGGTAGCGGTGAGCAGGAATTGTGTGATCGTATTAATACTATAACCTGTCCTTCCTTTGTGCCGGTTTCTTTCTTATCTCTGGTTTGTGTTCATACATACTTTGCATTTCTTCGGGTCTGGCGTCGAGCGTCTACTTTTGTGATATTCTATTACACACTCTCTCTCGCACCGCCTCATAAAGCTCTATATATCGTTCAAGTTAGCACCGGTCCGTCACTACCGACTCTCAGGCATGGCTATAGAAGTCATCGCTCCGGCCCGAAGCAGCACGCTGGTCAATCCCGGCTCTGTCAAAGATCAAGTGAAACCGAAAAGGGTCCTCAAGCAACTTGTGCCCCATACTCAGATCTCATCCGACTTTGATGAGCTCAAATTCAACGCTGCGGCATCTCTCCAACTGCAATGGCTGCAAGAAGCGCAAACATTCAATGCGTTGGCAACCGCAGACACCCGCCTCATCGCTTCTCCATACAATGACGTCCCTCATCTCCTGGATTTAGAGACCCTCGACACCCAAAGTCGACTCTTAGCACTGGCATTATCATTTTTCAGATCCGTCCGTGACGACTATGCTACCGGAGAGTACCTTGAATCATTCAATTGGGACGAAATCATCGATCTTGTCAAAGCATTCGCGGACGCAGAAGGTCACTCGTGGACCACACAGTCTTTCTACGTGGTTTCCTTCCGGTCCAGGCTCCAACCAGGAGTCGATCAAGATCATCTGCATGCGCTGGACGCATATTCGCACCAGGAGGCCGTCGCCAGCGGAGGGCTGTTGAAGTATTGGTTCGGCACGAAGAATGATGAGAGGCGAAATCTGGCAACTTGTATGTGTGGCCTACATGAATGAGCATCTCTAAATGGCACTAACTGTTCAAATAGGCATATGGCGTAGCAGGGAGGATGCCAGGCTCGGCGGCCAAGGGCCGTGGCATGCGAAAGCACGAGCTGCAGCAAGGGACTTGTATGAGTCGATTGTTTTCTCGACGATGAAATTAGTTATTGAAGACGGAGTCAAGTCTTGGCATGTCAGCGATTGGAGTTTGAAGGATGAGCGTGCATCATAGCCGTCTTGGCTGCCTCTTTCAATCGATCTTCAGGTAGTGATCGAGCCTTCTGTGTGCCATTGAGTTATATAGATATTTAGAGCCAGGTTCGACCAACCTTTCCACCGAACATTGAACAAGATTCTGAGTTTCCCAAATTTGACGGAATGTATGATGGGTTTGACTCATATAGTAAATACAACCATGTTATTTCTATCTCTATCTTTCCGTCAAAGTGAAGGATACACAATCTGAGCAAAGACTTGGGAAGGTCAAGGTGGCCGCAATGAAAGTCTTAGATACGCTTATCGGAAACAGAGATGCAGTAAGGAAGTGAGTACAACTATTTCTGTACTTGCGCGTGGTTCAAGGGATCTATTCAGGACCATGTTTCAGGCCTGAGCATTTGGCTTTGCATACTTCCTTCCACTTTTGTTTTAGTACCTTAAGGCTCTATGGTTGAAGTACAGGTATAAACAAGAGCTTGGGGTCGCCCTAATCATACGTAGTATTGTTACTCCTTTACCTCTGTCTTGAGCCATGTAAGGATGATTTTCAACCCATTTGCACCTTAAGAGGCTTCCGGTTCTGCGTGGAAGAATGGAGTATCTTTCCCCGCAAGTGGACCGGTCCTCCCCCCACTTTCTCCCAAAAGGGTACACGTTTGCCGCTGTGGAGGTGGGGAATATTACCACTTTAGCTCAATGTCTCCATCCATCGTGGCATAATGGAATCATCGGATTTTCCGTAAAGCTCACAGGCCCCGCGAGTAGGCCCGACATCTCGTACATGCGGGGTAGAGCTGACAATCGTGCCGATTTGGCTGGATCTTTATCCAGTTTAGTTCATGTCTATCCCGTCATCATGGGGTTCTGTTACCGCAGTAAGAGTATAAATCCCCGAGGCCACCCATGTTGACTGGAATTTATTTCCTACTTTGTTCTTTTTTTCTCTATTTTATCTGCTTGATCTATTACGTACGAGTCCAAAATGGTCGCCATCATCGCAGACCGACTCGCCGTCAATGATGGGCTTTTGAACTCAGAGAACGCTGCGCTACTGCGCCAGTCCGACCCTTCACTGCCTTTGGAAGAGCTGCGCAGGCGCTACGACGAAGACGGATATCTCTTCCTCAAGCAAATCCTCCCTCGGGACGACGTGCTTGCTGCTCGCGAGGCATACTTCTCTTCCCTAGAGTCAACGGGTGTTCTAAAGCCTGGCACTAACCCCCGGGAGGGTATCTTTGACCATGCTAAGAGGCATGAAGATTACCCCGGCATTGGTGCAGGAAATATTGGTGGGAATGGAAAACCTGGCGGAGATCGTGCGGCGGCGTTTGTCGACCTCGCTTTGGATGCCCATTATCAAGATTGGTATGCTGAGAAGTTCTGTAACCACTCGGCACTGTACGACTTTGTCTCAAAATTCTCGGATTGGGGCAAGAACACACTTAGCCTGCGTCGCACGCTGCTGAGGAATAACATTCCTGGCTCCAAGCCCATTGGTGTGCACTATGATCAAATCTTCCTGCGTCACGGCGACCCAACCAGTGTTACCGCCTGGGTGCCCATGGGCGATATTAAAATCAATGGCGGAGGGTTGATCTATCTCGAAGACGGTAGGCTTGCCATTTTCAGTTCGGTAATTGTTGGTCGACACTAAGTCATGCGCCACAGGCGACCGGATTGGAGTTGGGATGGAAGAGGCATTCTTTGTCAAGGCGAAGGAGGCCGGATTGACAGATGAAGAGGCCCGGTCAGCCTTCAACTCGAACATGATGGCAACGGGCCTCCTATCAGAATTCCCGGCTGAGTTCGCCCGGGAACATGGTCGGCGGTGGTTGGTATCGGCCTACGAAGCTGGCGATGTGGTTCTCCACAAGCCTCACATGGTATGTATATTGGCTCTGTGGCTTGATGTTCCCCACTAAAGACATACGTTCTAGATCCATGCATCCGCTATCAACCAAGACCCCGATAATGTAATCCGCCTTGCAACGGATCTTCGTTTCTGCGATTCTTCAAAACCATATGACAAGGTACGCTAGCCTGCTTTGTGTTAAACAAGCTCCAGCAACCTAAGACGTGACACTGACTCTAATAATAGAGGTGGATGAATTACTATCGCTTCCATGATGGTGTTTAGAAAATGCCCAGTACATATCTCCCACATATGAGTCGTGTGCATGTCCCCATTTTTGTTTTCTGGGGCCCGCTATATACATCCCAGAGCTATCAAGTAATGATCCCTTAAATGCAAATTTTAACGACGACCTATCAGTCTAGAAGCCACGGAAGGTTTTGCTGTGATGGCTGCCCTATCGCTTTCAGGGACCGACACTGTCAAGAACAAGTGCGCCGGAGTGAAGCATCTCCGCATCATTCCCGCTTTGTCTTGGACTTCACCCTTTTGGTGGCCACTTCTCCTTGATCCCATCGGCATTGTCATCATGACCTAGCAAGGGTTCGCTTTATTTGAGACTGAGTTCACCTCTGGAATGCCAGACTGTCATTCCCGCAGATCCGCACTACGCACCGGCATCCCTAGATTCAGGTCAGGTCCCCCTCAAAAAGCAGAAAACTTCTAAGGTGCCCCGGTAACAGCAATGAGAACGAATATAGTTGTATAGTTTGCTTCTTGAGTCTAATTGACCTCGGCAGAGGGTGTCAAGAGAATAAAGCTGTTGGGGGGACTGGGTCAAAATATCCGAACTTTGGCATTCGATGGTAGCAAGCGCTCATTCCAAAACGGGGCGGGGTTTCAACCGCATCCCACAACGAGGCGGGTTTTCCAAAAGCATCAAGGATCAGAGTATATGAATCATCAGTGGATCCTGATCTACCTCATATGTTGAAGATCATTCACAGGCCTTGGTGTGCTTTCCTCGCATCCGTCTGCAAACAATTATCAATCTACTCTACTAGCAAAACGAGACTATACACAAAAAAAGCTATACATGATGTCGCTGTCCGCGCTCAGGTCTTCCTGGATGGCAATTGGGGCTCTGGTCCTCTTGGTCGTGTCTACTGTTCATGGACATCCGATTGAGGCATCAGCAACCGAAGAACAAGCCCAGCCCGCACCAGCTCTGCAGCCTCGTGATCCGGTAAATTAGGAATTGAAGCGGCACGCTTGACACCTTCTAGGAGAGTCATGCTAATATTGGCATACAGAGACTCATTCCCGATACTGAGAATTACCTGAACCAAATATTTGCGCTGCTGGGTGTCGGAAAACCAACGCCAACGATTCCCTCAGACGCAGCCAGCGCTACTGGCGCTCCCAGTCCTAGTCCTGACGCTGAGCATACCAAGACGGTGAACATCAAGGCAACACCAGTGATCAGTGGCAATGGCATTATTTATTCCGCTACCATCACAAAGGGCAGCCAGAAGCCATTTGAGAATATCCAGATCGGAACAGGATATCATGGCGGAAAGAAGCTCTATGCCTCCGATCTGGGACTTATCTTCAATGCCGTGGAGACAGAACTAGCGAGCCACTTCCGTAATGAGGTTGATAGCTCTGACGAGATTGGATTGGACAAGGTCAACGACAACAACAACAACAACAACAACAACAACAACAACAACAACAACAACAACAACAAGTATAACAACAGCACTGACCAGGACAACGACGAGAACAACGATGAGAACAACGACGAGGAAAACGACGAGGAAAACGGAGAGGAGAACGGCGAGGAGAACGACGAAAACGATAACCTGCTTTCAGACGGGATAGGAAAAGACTACCTGACCTAATGGATTATGTGATGATCTCATAGCTTGGCCAATTTAGGGAAAGGACCTGTTTAGTAAGATATCTGTTTATCGGACAGACAAAGAGACACATGTCTGTGAATACATTTAGCTTAGACCTCCAAGTATCTGACGACTTGAAATAAAATTGTCGCTCTTCGAAATGTGTGGTTTTAGAGTCCATGCCAGAATTACTTCACAGGAGTAGAACGCGGCACGAACACCGTGTACACAGTTCCTAGATCGTCTATTCTGTTCTTCTGATATTTCTCTTAGCTTTTTTCCCCTCATCTAAATCAGGAGACTTTCCTCTTCCCGGTGACACATTCCTCTGGCCGATAAGACCAATCTTGGTAATGGGCCGCCGAGGAACAATCATGCGAAAACTAGAACCATTCCTCATAGGTCTTGCATAGGTCTTGAAATTATAGAAAGGGTATGGGAACCAGCCCAGCTTCTACGTGACCTACAAATCATTTCCAACCCCAAGTATTGACAAAGGTCGGTCCATGGGCGCACGTTATGACCGAGCTAGACACTCGTCTACGAGAGATTTGTTCAGCGCGAAGCTTGGCTGGAAGAGAAATACCGGCAATCTATGGAGACACTATCAACTACAGTCAACAAGACGGCTTTGGAGAACAAGCTGGATTAGATGAATGGGAAGCATAAACAAGAAAAGCGCTGCCAGCCAGCCTTCAATCTGAAGATCCGTTCTCCAGATGAATATGGCCTCCAGATTAGAGAAACCTCCAGTTGATGTAAGCCTATATTTCAGGTGGAGGTGTGCGAAGGGACCTTTAGGTTCTCCAGGTTTGTCTTGTAGCAGTGGCCACTGCGGATGGTGCCTGATCATGGCACAGCCGGGACCCTCGGCTTGCGCCACCTTAACTCCGGAGACACTGCATTTTGCCGCATGTCGTCACTCTAATTTCCGCCCATGGACTCGGAAACCGATCGCAAACTTCCGTTCATGTCTTCAGATCGCCCAGAGTCACCAGCTAGCCAATCAAGTCGAAGAACGGCACCGTTGATGCGGACTCTGAATCGGGGTTAAGGGTGCTGTAAGCGATAGTAGTGGGGTGCCAGAAGAGCAAAGGCGTAACCGAAGAACGGGAGCGGCGAGCATAAAGGGCGTCCGTCGCGACGACACGGCTCCATCAATCCATCTTCTATCGGACCTCAACCACTCCTCCTGCTTCATCGTTTCACTCTCTTCGCAGACCCAAGACAACTATATCAATTGCGACGCGCACAATGCCTACCCTCGTTGGAAAAGAAGTCGGCCCCACCGGCTATGGAACGATGAGTACGAATTTCTTTAGCGTCACCAATGGCCGTTCTAAGCAAGCCATATGCTGACCAATTTAGGAATGACTTGGCAAGCGCACCCACCTGCCCAGGAAGTGTGTTTCGAGACTCTCAGCAAAGCTCTGGAGCTCGGTGCCAACTTCTGGAATGGTGGCGAGCTCTACGGCACCCCCGAGTACAACTCCTTGCATCTGCTAAACAAGTATTTTACCAAGTACCCCGAGCATGCAGACAAGGTCGTGCTTAGCATCAAGGGTGGATTGAAGCCCGGCCAGCTAGTCCCAGACGGATCGGAAGAGAACATCCGCCGCAGCGTTGACGAGACTCTGCGCCTGCTGGATGGCAAAAAGAAGGTGGACATCTTCGAGTGTGCGCGCCAGGACCCCCAGTTCCCGGTTGAGCACACTGTCGAGGTCCTTGCACAGTACGTCAAGGAGGGCAAGATTGGCGGCATTGGCCTGAGTGAAGTGGATGCTGAGACTATTCGGAGAGCGTACGTTGCGATACCATTCTATATATTGACCCGAATGTGGCCTAACTACTCGTCTAGACACAAGGTCCATCCCATTGCCGCCGTCGAGGTTGAGTTGTCGCTCTGGTCGACCGACATCCTCGAGAATGGCATTGCAAAGACCTGCGCGGAGCTCAATATCCCTGTCATTGCTTACTCGCCTCTTGGCCGGGGTGCCATGGCGGGCGCAGTAACCTCAATCAATGACATCCCTGAGGGTGATTTCCGCCGGCACTTGCCCCGCTTCCAGGGGGAAAACTTCCAGCACAACCTAAAGCTCATCAATGAGGTCAGCAGCCTAGCTTCTCGCAAGAATGCTGCCCCATCTCAGATTGCCCTGGCCTGGATCCGCAGCCTCAGCGGCAAGCCCGGCATGCCCACCATAATTCCTATCCCCGGCGGCACTACTGTCGACAAGGTGGTTCAGAACATGAGTGGAGTCAGCCAGCTCACAGATAAGGAATTGGCTGAAATCGATGCTATCTTGAAGGAGCATGAGGTCGCTGGGGGCCGTTATTGAGGGGATGGCATACTTGAATACTAGTCTGTTAGCGTGGCTCGAGCGTAGAGGATGATAAACAATTGAATGCCATCATGTTATAGTTGAGTGCACGAATCAGATCAAGTGTAGAAGAGTCGACATGCAATCTCACAATGCAGAGCCCGAAAGCAATGCACGGAGATTGTCTGAATTGCAGAATTCTTCTTTGTGTTCATCATGCGAGCAGGAAAGTGATACAGGAGAAAGAAACAGACGAGGAGAAAGAAGCAGACGAGGAGAGAAACGTACCATGATAGAGGATGGACTGAGCATGCTATGCTGAATACTAGTGCGTTAGTGCATTTCATTACGGTGCGAAACAATTGCGGTGTTGTGAGAAGTGCAAAAACAAGAAACCGGAAAGGCCGCCGGGTTGAGCTCGAAGCACCCATTCAATCACGTGATAGGTATGCTGACCCTCGCCTTGCGCCAGCAACCTGCGCAACACCGTCCTTCCAGTTGCTGCAGCGATTGCGAACGCCTCCCAACCTAGTGGCTTGCCGACTCATTCGCTGTCAATTATTGTCACCATGGCATCCCGCGAAGGTTCCCCCCTGTCCTCCATCGGCACCGCCGAGGACTCGGATCACGACTCCGTGAAGCAAGAGAGCCGCGCTCAATCGCCCTCAGCTGCCAACATGCCCCCATCAAAGCGCCGCCGTACAGGAGTAGCCTCCTGGGACCGGCAAACCCCCATGTCCTCTGTCCAGGACGAGCTCCCTCCTCCACCCTCGCCTACAGCCTCCATCTCCTCCGATACCTCCGGCGACCTCCCGAACTCGCCTACTCTCCTGGGCGCTGCACTAGGAAACAACCAAGACGACGATTACAGCGGCCAGAGTGGCGACCAAGTCACTGTGTGCCGCTGGGATGGATGCACCGCTGGCGACCTCGGCAATATGGATGGATTGGTGCAACATATCCATAATGACCATATCGGGAGCCGGCAGAAGCGGTACTCGTGCGAGTGGACCGATTGCTCCCGCAAAGGCCAAACGCATGCCAGCGCATATGCATTGCGAGCGCATATGAGGAGCCATACTCGAGAGAAGCCCTTCTACTGTACCCTCCCTGGTACGTCACCAGCAGCTACCTCCCTAGATCTACTCCGCCGTTCCATAGCGGGTTGCTAACGTATACCAACAGAGTGTGATCGTAACTTTACCCGCTCGGACGCCCTCACAAAGCACATGCGCTCTGTTCACGAACTCGACAACCTCCGTTCAGCCGACGCCAAGGGCGGAATCACCGGCACCCTCACCGGTACACCAGCCTCGAAGCTCCAACGCATCCGCCTCAAGCTCTCTCAACCCGCAAAAGAATCCGGCAGTGAGCCCGAACAAATCACGGAGCCACTTCTGTCTAGCATTACGGCCAATGACGACGCAGAGGACACAAGCATGCCCGACTTGGGACCTGAGCTCGGCTTCGATGACCGCGAGCTCGCCATGGCTCCGCACGATCTGTATCGGCTCCTGCGACGCCAGATCTTTTGGGCTGAGAAGGAGACAGCGCAGATGAAATTCGAGTGGGATGGCTTACGGCCAAAGCGCGAGCAGGCCTGGCTCGAGAAAGAGGCTATCTTCGATGATGTGATCGACGCAGAGCTGCGGCTGTTCAGCGCTATTGTCGGCGATATCGGTGGTCCTGTGACAAACCCGGGAAACCTGGCGACTAGTCTCGAAAAGTTGCAGCACCAGCAATTACAGTTCAAGCAGCAGCAGGAGCAATTGCAGGCCAAGTCGACGGAGGCGGCGGAGACCGAGGTTGATGCCGCTTGATCTGTCTGGATCTAAATTTTTGTGAATGTTTCACCCTTCTTTCCTGGCGTGGGTGGCGTTGCAACGGTATTAAGATATAAGTTTCTGTTTCGAAGAAGGGAGTGCGATAGTGGAACGAACAAATGTACGAATATAGCCTTTCTTTTCTCTCTGTCTCTTTTGGAAAATGTACTTTTTTCAGCATTGGACCAAGAATTGTTTATCAGACTAACCTTTTTTGTCCGATTCAGGCATAATGGCAATATCAATAATCTACCAATTACCAACTAATGGATCCGACACACACGGCACTCTATAGCGGCTACTACGTAAATGACTGGCTTTGACCAGCATGAAAAGGAACTTAACCCACGTATTTCAAGAAGCGATGAAATTATCCGTATCGCCAATTTAAGATCTGAATATCATGCGGAAGGTTTGCCCAGCGGCTCATTAGTAGGGTCAATATTAGACATCCAACTTTTACGGTAGCAAGCAGCTCTTTTGTGCGAATCGGACAGTCTTTGGCAATACGTCTGCAACAGTGGTAAAAATTTTCGACGGTTAGAATTTGTCAATTTTTGAGGTGGCCGCTAAAAGCTGCTGTACCCTACAAATAACAGCAAATACGTGGGGAAGACTTGATGGTTCAGGCCAAGACCTAATAGCAAGGTCCTAGCCAGTATCGATTCCATTTGTTCTAACAAACAGGGAAAGGGTAAGACATCACGGACATTGCTCCCGATCAGCTGAATGATCTTGTGAGAGATACAGAAAAATCAATCGACGCCATGGTAGCCACTCCATAGGATACACGTGCTGAGAAGGAGAAAGGTAACAAAGACAGGAAAGAAATAGAAGTGGCCTAAGTGGCAATATCGCAATAATGAGACCGGGGGCCAATGTGTCCAAGTATGCCAAACGAAAAGTAAAAGGAATCAAAGATTAATGAGGGCGGAGCCAGCTTACCCCATTCCAGCAAAACTTTGAACGAGGTCGTGTGGTGGGTTCAGCGTGGTCTGCCGGGAGAAAGACGGCAATGAAGAACGCCAACGGGAATAGAATATAGCACCAAACACGCCATGCAAATATCATCTTGACGTTCGAATCATATTCAGGCCAAATCGAGATTCTCCTTTCTGTGCTATATGGAGTTTTTTAGGTTGCGCAAATCGCAAATCACTTCGACGCCTTTCGCAATGCCATGCAAATCATTGCATCCGTATGTACTTTCAATGAAGTAGAGGGATCATTGACGTTTTATCTCGCTGGCCAACACACTGGCCTAGCCCTGGGAGGTAGGAGGGATCGGGCAGGGCGCAGGTGCCTGTCATCAAGGGCTGGGGAGGATGATTGGCATCCCCGGCTAGGAATGCTCAATATGTATGCCATGACCCCATGAAAAAGAATCAGCCCGCTGGGCAAAAGAAGCGGGAGGGTACTCTAGGATCAAGAGCCGTTGGAAATCTTCTCGGCCTTGGTGGCTTCCATGACCTTGTCAAACATCTGTTGAAGTTTATAGCCACCAACCTCCTTGTTGGGCCAATAATTGGAAGAGACATAATCCCTAGAATGCATGTTAACAGTTTGTACTCAATAAACCCAGGTTAATGAAGACTTACCACAGGCGTCTTTCAAGGGAAGGCATGGACTGTTCGCCCTCCAATGTGTTGCGAATGAATTCACCAATCTTCACAATTGTGTTGCGGAGCTTGAGAGCTCTCTCGTGCTTGTTGGGATAGTTCTTGGCTGTGATCATAGAGACCTGCTTGAGGTTTGGAACAATAGGGCGGAAAAACATCAAAGCCATGTCCTCCTTGCTCGAGCCGCCATTCTCGTGAGCCCTGCGACGGCGGAGATCCTCGTTGGTTGCATCAGACAGACGGTGGCGGGGACGGTCAACATCCTGCCCAGACCTAGGCCGGTCGTGGCTGGGCGTGTGATGGCGGTCACCAGTATCACGGCTGCCATGGGTATGGGAGCGCGGCCTTGAGCGCTCAGCTTCACGGTGACCCTTGCGAGCAGGGGGAGCCGGGGAGGCGGAAACACTGCCACTCCCAACGCGCGAGGCCCGCTTGTTATTCCGATGATGATTATCCACTGCTCGCCTTGCGCTGACATTGCTGCCGTTGCTATGCTTGTTTCTCATGACAGAGAGCAGATACTCGGCTCGGCGGACAAGGTGAACAGCACCAGGTGACTTGGTAGTTTTTTCTTCTCCCTGCGCACGCTGGGTTTTTCGCTCCACTCGGTGTTCCTCCAGGAAGAACTTATCACCAAGGCCCAGGTCCACATCATCACGGATTTGAGCCCAAGCGCCAAACCCATGGCGCGCAATACCAACCAGAAGCATACCATCCTCCCGAGCACCCCATGGGCAGCTGTAATCGGCTAGCTTGGTGGCTTCTGGAAGACGGAAGGTCCTGAAGTCCGGCAGGGAGGTGGTGATCTTCCGTACGAGACGCATATCAGGGGGTCGGTCGACGATAGTCCAGGCATTCAGACGCTTAACACCGTGGTGGTCGAAAAGAACAGCCTTCTGTTCTTTTTTCGTAAGGTTCTTGCCCGACTGCTTGATAGCTTCCAATTGAGCCATATTTTCTTGGACGAGTGAGTTAGCCTTGTCCGTGATTTCGCAGAGGGCTGCATAAACGGTGTCCCGGTCACGGTTTTGCAAGCGAGAGTCCTCAAGAATGAGCTCTTCGCAGTCTGCCCAATCACCGTAACGCAAGAAGGCTCGCGAGAGAGAACGGTATTCCTTTTCGCCCAGTGGGCGCTTTGGATCCAATGAGCTGCTCTCATCTTCATCGTCTTCCATAGCGACTTGTGCCCTGGCCTGACGCTTGGCTTGGCGTTCTCCCCGAGTTTCTTTCGTTTCGACAGCTGCATGACGTTTTCGAGGCCTGTTCTCCTCGATAACATCGGCAAGATATCTCTCGTCCGCCTTGCGCTTCACTTCCGCTTTGATCTCCTCGAGCTGTTGTTGAGGAATTATGTCGTCCCAAGTGAGATCATCGACCTTGATATCAACAAAGTCGAAGGCTTTTAAGAACTCCTCACCACCATCAGCCTGGATCTGCTCCTCTTGCTCGGTGTGATGCAGTTCGGCATTTGCAAGAACAGAGTCAATATCGAGCTGCTCAAGCTTCTTCTGATTATCGGTCTGCTCGAACATTTTCTGGCCACGGCGCTTGAGGATGCGAGAAATATCCTCTGTGGAGTTGGGTTCGCCAACCACACGAGCCATCTTGCTCTGCATCTCGGATGCTTCCTTGTCGGTCACGCCACGCTGGATGGTGATGAACTCCAGCATGAGCTTGTTACGAGCTCGCTCGATGACCTCTTCCTCAATGGTATCCTTGGACACAAGACGATAGACGCTGACAGGCCTCGTCTGTCCGATTCGGTGGGCTCGCGCCATGGCCTGCAAGTCTGCTTGAGGGTTCCAGTCGGAATCAAAAAGAACGACTGTATCAGCAGTCATCAAGTTGATTCCAAGACCACCGGCTCTTGTGGAAAGGAGAAATGCGAAGTCGGTGCTCTCTGGGGCGTTGTAGTGCTCAATAGCCAGGCGACGGGCTGCGGACGGAATGGTTCCATCAAGGCGTTGATACTTGTAGCCACGATACTCCATGTATTCACTAAGGATATTGAGCATGCCTACCATTTGGCAGAAAATCAAGACGCGGTGGCCATCACCCTTGAGCTTGCGAAGCAGTTGATCCAGCAGCATCATCTTGCCACTGCTTGTGATCATGGCACGAAGAATATCCTCTCGCCGCGTGCTACCTTCCAGGATCCTTGCCTCTGCGTTGGGGAACATGAAGGGGTGGTTACTTGCTTTCTTCAGCTCCATCATGATGTTCAACAACGACTGTTTCACACCCCTTGCACCATCATTCAAAGCAGCGTAGTTCTTTGTCAAAATGTTTTTATAGTACTCCAACTGGACATCAGAGAGCTCAACACGAATAATCTTCTCAGTCTTCGGAGGAAGGTCAGATTCAACCTTAGACTTGGTACGGCGCAGCATAAAGGGTTGAATAGCATCAGTCAACTCAGCCAATTTCTCTGACGCGAACTCGGAGTTGAGATCCATATCGACATCAACTTGAACCATGCCGGGGTTGAGGAAGTCCATTAGAGATGCCAGCTCTGCAAGGTTGTTTTGGATGGGGGTACCCGTAATGAGAAGACGGGCCTGGCACTTCCATTCATTCAATTTGACGTACAGCTGCGAATCGCGGTTCTTGAGACGATGGGCCTCGTCCACTCCCATGAACTGCCATCTGAATTGTCCGAGGAACGGAGAATCATTCATCGCGTACTCGTAGGTTGTCAGGAGGACGTGGAACTTCGGCCGCTTAGGATTGCCATCCACCATCAACTCATAGTCACGGAGTACGGCACGCGCTTTCTCGCTGCCATTGTAGACAACATAATTCAAGTCCGGAGTCCAATTGTCGAAGGTATCAGCCCATGCTGGCATGGTAGACAGTGGGACGATGACAACGAAAGGTCCTTGCTGCCGCCGAACATGACGCAGCCAATTGATAAACGAAACAGTTTGAACTGTTTTACCAAGACCCATTTCGTCCGCTAGAATCACGTTCCGGTCTTTAACCCAGTTGAAGGCCAGGAAATTGAGGCCTTTGATTTGGAAATCCTTGAGTTCACCATTTTGCAAGAAGTTCGGGGATGATTGAATGCGCTCGAATGGCCTGCGCGTATCAGGGTTTGACTCCACTCGGTCGGAGACAGGTGCACGAGCAGAGCGATCGATGAAACGGTCAATCTCGCTCTGTGCGATCTCACTAACCATGTCCTCGGCCTCCCAGGTACATGAATCATAGTATAACCGTTTCCACTTGACGAGGTACTCAGTCGTGCCATCTTCACTCTCTCGCACACCAATGACGCGTTCAACCTGCTTGTAGTCTTCAATTGCCTCAACATCCCGTTCACGATCGAGACTCCACTTCTCCCGGTCCTCTGGAGGGGCGTCTGGGTCATGAAGCAGGCGAAGCTCCTCATTGAGCACCTTGCGAACATAATTGTCCACCCGGCGAGTGCTGCGATAGTTGACAAGAGATTCATTTGACTCCCAAGTGGCATGGATGTGTGATTTGTCTTGCCACTTGATGTAGAACTCAAAGTCTTGGCGGTCGACGTCGGGATTATCGGGCTCCACGCCTTCCTTTAGCCGATGGTTCAAAACGACATCGACTGCAGGTCGGGTATCCTCCACATAGCTATGTGCCCAGTAATTGTCCATGGCCTCATCTGGATCTTCCTGAAAGATCTCGTCATCCTCATCTTCGTTATAGTTGGACACCTTGGAAGCATTGCGCGTGGAGAAGCGGACCTCAGCGAAAGAGCGGTCTGTGCTCGCGGCTTCCTTGAGACGACGTCGTCGGGCCTTATTCGCACGGGCACCTTTACCCGCATACTCATCACTATCAGTTTCGGAGAAGGAGGAGGCGGTAGCCGACCGCGAGGTCTTCGAGGGCTGGTGGGATGGCTCCTTGCGCCGACGCTTGGAGCGTGGCGCAACTACATCGGATTCCGAATCGGATGAGTCGACGAGGTGACGTGCTTGACGCGCGCGGCCACTACGACGAAGGCCGTACAGATCGGGGTTCTGTCGCATGAACTCGATTTCATCCGGCGGCGACGATTTCCGCTTGACGCCGCGGTCTGGCTCTGGTGATGAAGAGTTTTCACGGCTGGACTGGCCAAGCTCATCACCACTGTTATCCATCACAACATCCTCATCTTCCCCATCGGAAGCCGGAGACTGGGCATCGTATGAGTCGTCCGCGGCATCAGGTTCGGGGGAGGACTCGAAGATGGGATGCGACTCGACGGGTTCGGACGGAGTGGGCTCGATCTGGGCAGCCACGTCGAATTCTGCAGGAGCGTCTTCATCCGCTATAGAATGCGAGTAGCCATTCGGCACCGTGGAGGAGGAATGAGGTTCTTGACCCGATGGGATCACCATGCTAGAGGCTATGGCCGGAGGGGCAGTCAGCATTGAAGCTCAATTCCGGGCGTCAAGCACGCCAGATACACGGGGCACGGTAGAACAATGATACGCGACTCAGGTCGCAGAGAAATTAAGCTTAGTATCGGTGGAGCAGGGTAGCATATCAAGATTGATGAGGATAGATGTTTTTTGATGAAGGGTGGGATGGACGAAACCAGAGCTGGGGAAGCAGCCACAAGGGGATTGACACCGAGAACCCACTCCCAGAGAACGATTCCATCAGACGTATATCATGCGAGTCAAAAGCCGCCTCGATCCCGAGAGACACGAGAGAATCGGGGATTCTGGCAGTGGGTCAAGCAACGCGGAGAAGTACGCGGGCAAACCGGTCGAGCGGCAAGCCTGTCGCTTTGACAGAAAAGAAAAAGAATCACTTACACTCCATAGCGTGGTGACCCCGCAAGAGGGGAGACTAGGGGTATTAGCGTAAGAAAAGAATGGTGGGCGGGAGGTTGTGATGACGCCGTGCGTATGAAGAAGAGACGGGTGAGGGAGAAGAGTTGGGGGAGGTTTGATTCGGTTTGGTTTGATTTGCAGACGATCGGCCTAGCAGCCTTGGCACTCAGGCAATAAACCCCTTCCCCTCTGGGATTAGCGTCTTCGCTTCTCGAACAACCGTGAGTCCCGTGATATGTTTATATCATCATTCGGAAACTCCCGGACAAACCAATCTTCCGCTCCGATCGTTCCCACCAATAACCGTCATCCGAAATAATGCACCGCCCAGGGCGGTCACTCTGAGGTCGCCTCAGGCGGGTCAGCCCACAATAAGAAAGAAAGCGCTCAATTCTGCCCCCCTCGTCGTTGCGATTGTCCTGTCATTCTCCGTCAGCTCGAGTCTGCGCAGACACTTGGTGCTCTCCTGCACCTTATTCTCTTGGTTGCGCCGGCTTTTTCTTCGTTCGATTCGACGTTTCTTGCCCGCGACAAACACCGCTGTTAAATTCTTGTTACCCGGCTTTGATACCTTAATCGTGGTTCCCCGAGACCAAAGCCGCCACCATGTCTGACAAGCTTACCCGGTATGTCTAGATAGCACTCTCGGTATAAGAATGACGCCTTGCTAATGGTTATCTCGTCTCTAGTATTGCTATTGTCAACAGTGACAAGGTTCGTTCCAGTACCCCGCTAATCGCGTTTCCCGCGCTCCGAAGTTCTCGTTCATGACCGGCTAACATGAAGTTTTCCCGATCTATAGTGCAAACCGAAGGTATGAAATATAGGACAATGTTTGCAGTGGGTTTCGCAGAGGCTGACATATTTTGCTGTAGAAATGCCGTCAGGAGTGTAAGAAATCTTGCCCCGTGGTCCGCACGGGAAAGCTTTGCATCGAGGTGACTCCCGAATCGAAGATCGCCTTCATTTCCGAACGCCTTTGCATCGGTTGTGGTATCTGCCCTAAGAAGTGTCCTTTCGGCGCCATTCACATCATCAACCTGCCCACCAACCTGGAGACCCAGGTCACCCACCGCTACTCCGCCAACAGCTTCAAGCTCCACCGTCTGCCCATGCCCCGGCCCGGCCAGGTCCTCGGTCTAGTTGGAACCAACGGTATCGGCAAGAGTACTGCGCTGAAAATTCTGAGTGGCAAGCTGAAGCCCAACCTGGGCCGCTACGACAACCCTCCTGACTGGGAGGAGATCCTGAAGTACTTCCGTGGCTCTGAACTGCAAAGTGAGTGATGTCGGCCGGATGAGATCATTGAAAGGCCATCGCTGATCAAAAAACTAGACTACTTCACCAAGGTTCTGGAGGACAACCTGAAGGCTGTCGTCAAGCCTCAGTACGTCGATCAGATTCCGCGCGCCGTCAAGGGTCCCGTCCAGGGTGTGGAGGACCTCATCAAGGCCCGTGCCCAGCTAGACAACATGGATGAGATCATGAATGTTCTCGGTATGAAACTTTAACTTCCCCCGGCATTTCATTAATTACTAACCACCCAAAAAATGTAGAGCTGAGACAGGTTGCGGACCGTGACATTGGCCATCTCTCTGGTGGTGAGCTGCAGCGTTTCGCCATTGGTCTGGTTTGCGTGCAGAAGGCCGATGTGTAAGTTCTTTGGACTGCTGGATTGCAATGTGGTCATCCTTCTAACTAGTCTGCAGGTACATGTTTGATGAGCCCTCCTCTTACCTTGATGTCAAGCAGCGTCTGGCTGCTGCCCGTACCATTCGTAGCCTTCTCCGCCCCGATGACTACGTCGTTGTCGTCGAGCACGATCTGTCGGTTCTTGATTATCTGTCCGACTTCATTTGCGTTCTCTACGGTCGCCCTGCTGTCTACGGTGTTGTTACTCTGCCTTCTTCCGTCCGTGAGGGTATTAACATCTTCCTTGATGGTCACATCCCGACTGAGAATCTGCGTTTCCGTGAGGAGTCCCTCACTTTCCGCCTGAGTGAGGCTGGCGACGATTTCATCGCGGATAAGGCACGTGCCTTCGGCTACCCTGCCATGGAGAAGACCCTCGGCAACTTCCACCTCAAGATCGAGCCAGGAAGATTCACTGACTCCGAGATCATCGTCATGATGGGTGAGAATGGAACTGGAAAGACCACTTTCTGTAAGATGCTTGCTGGTGCCGAGAAGCCCGATGGCACCCGTTCTGTCCCAAAGATGAACATCAGCATGAAGCCTCAGAAGATCACTCCCAAGTTCCAGGGCACCGTGCGCCAGCTCTTCTTCAAGCGTATCAAGTCCGCCTTCCTCTCTCCACAATTCCAGACCGATGTCTACAAGCCGCTCAAGCTCGACGACTTCATTGACCAGGAGGTTCAGAACCTGTCCGGTGGTGAATTGCAGCGTGTTGCCATTGTTCTGGCCCTTGGTATCCCGGCCGATATCTACCTGATTGACGAGCCTAGTGCGTATCTAGACTCCGAACAGCGTATCGTTGCCGCCCGTGTTATCAAGCGTTTCATCATGCACACCAAGAAGACCGCCTTCATTGTCGAGCACGATTTCATTATGGCCACCTACCTGGCTGACCGTGTCATCGTCTTCGACGGTCAGCCTTCCGTGGACGCTCACGCCAACACCCCCGAGTCCCTAGTGACTGGTTGCAACAAGTTCCTGCGGAACCTGGACGTCACTTTCCGTCGTGACCCCAACAGTTATCGTCCTCGTATCAACAAGTACAACAGTCAGATGGACCAGGAGCAGAAGTTGGCTGGCAATTTCTACTTCTTGGAGGAAGAGAACTGAAGAGGGCACCCCTCACAAGCATCAACGCCGCCGTCACAACCGTGATGGCCGCGATTCTGAGCGGCGGCGTAAGTGGCGCCGCGGCATCGGAGGGTTCAGGTGGCGATTGGCGTTCCCCGGTATTTGCAGAGCCGCGGTGGTTGAGAGTAGAAGACTCCATCGCCCCGCCAGGAGTTCTCCTGGAGATGGAGAGCATCTTCTAGGAGATGGCGAGGTTGATGATGATGATGATGATGATGGATGACAGGGTGTGAACGAAGACACTGGCTTAGAGGCAATGGCATGATCCGTTAGTCTACACCTCAATGTGCCACTCCACATCCTGAAATCATCATTTATTTCACCATCTGCGTCGTCTTCGTCATCTGCCATGCAACCCCGTTTTCTAGGCTCCGTTATCTTGGCATTCATTTGAGATTTCTGGCATCTAGCCGGGAACACCTGCCATCTGATATCACCGAAAACATTTTCTTTACGGTTAGATGTCGGGGGATTTTTGATTGGCATGGTTGTTCCATCGGAGTTATTGTTTTTCATTATGGGTTGAGGGTTCGGTTCTCAAAAAGCTTTTCCATGACTTGATGATTGATAGAGGTGGATGGATGTCTTCTTGGGAATGGCTGAAGGGCCATGTTGAGGGAAAGCAGTCATTGTTGAATAGCTGGGTTTTCTCGCATCGGGTCGGTCCATTATCTAAATGGCTCTAGGCCGGCTACTAGTATTTGAACATTATCATTATCAATTATCTCAATCTTCTCTTTTTGTATCTTCGATTTTCGCATGCAACGAATCTCCACGGAAGTGAAATATAACCTGCGGTCTTATACTAGGCTATATCAACTCCAGCTACCATTTTAGCCTTATAAGAGCAAAATCTTGACCTCTATCATGATCGTCTAGTGTGACGAGCGTGATACGCAGCGCAGCACCTGACTATATTGAATACAGTACAATTTCTCTACTACTCGTAAACAAAGATAGATAGCTTGACTTTTATTGGAATCCAGCAGTTAGATGAGCCCTTTCGAACTGGGTTGATTTTGTGCTGATAGGTGGAACATGGATTTATGTCAGCGCACAGAGTGGTAACGTAAACCACGGCCGGTCGGGCCACCCGAAAACACGATACAAAATGCGGTTTTTCAGGTTATAATATATCAACAACAAGAAGACGATTTTGCTTAATTTTTAGTATAGTATGATTTCCTAGTATTAGAAATATTATAGTATAGCTAATATGTTCAGAAAATGTTTAATTACTGCTATTACCAAAAATACGCTCCGATCGAGCCATGATATATATATCTACTTTGTGATACCCTAAAATATTTCTTGACCTAATACCTAAAAATACCAAATTATCCGTGTTGATGATGCTATATTATTTGATAAAACATGATTTAAATTCTCTATATTGCTAGGAAATTGCCTTGGCTTTACTGTTGAGGAATGAGCCAGTCACTGCCGATTCCTCAGGCTCTTTAGCGCCTCCGCCCTCCTTTCTGTGTATGATAGTTTCATAGCTTCTTTCTCTCCTCCATAGCTCTGTGCATTCAATAACTCGCTCAGTAATGGCTTTTCTAGATCTACTATGTGCAACATCATCCAGGAGACGAGCCCAGAAGAGTTCATAGATTGGTATACAAGGCTCTAGAGATCAAGTCTAGAGAAGGAACAAGTTCGAAGCCAATTTTTTGACATTACCCACACAATCAATATCATATCAAGTACTACCCCGATAATACTACTTACATCCAACAATATCAATAACATCACTAATACAAAACCGCATTATTGCAACCCATATTCACCATGTATCATGGCCATCGTCCCAAGCAGATGCGGACGCCACCAAGACCACCTACTCGAAGAGGTAGTACATGCTCAGGGCATTCGCGCCACCGCAGATCTCCGCCGAGTCTCCGGAACAGACGGTACCACAGCCAGAAGTAAGGGTAGCACCATTATCAATGGTGTTGCCACAGAAGCACTGACTTCCATACTCCATACCAGCGTAGATATATCCATTGTCCTTACAGGCAGCCTGGCACTTCTCAACGGTGTTACCAGCAACATTGACCGAGTGAGCAAGGGTACGCTTGAGGGTGGTATCGGAGTAGCAGCCGATGCTTTGCCAAACGGGCACAACCGTATACATGCTAAGCGCGTTGGACCCACCGCAGACCTCAGAGGAGTCCTGGGGGCACGCGACGTTGCAGTTGGATGAGTCGATCTGAGCAGCACCGTTCATGATAGCCATGCCACAGAAGCACTGTGTACCGTACTCCATGCCGGCGTAGGTGAAGCCCAGACCCTGACAGGTAGACTGGCACGCCTGAACGGTGCCACCGGATACGTTCTCGGAGGTGTTGAGTGCGCGGGCGAGCGTGCTGTCGGAGTAACAGCCCAGGCTTTTCCAGGCCAGAGTGGTCGAGACTCCGCAGTTGCCATAGTCAGCCTGGCATCCGCTGCCACAGTAGCCGGTGTCGCTGCCACACCAGCCAAACTGGGAGCAGCAGTTGCCGAAGGCGCTGCCTGCGCAGGTGGCGGTTCCGTTGTAGGCTCCGCAGATACCAGTGGTAGAGACTGACGACCTCGGGAAGAGAGATTCCTATCGATGCAGTTGTTGAGTTATCTGGGGTGCTCGGAGGAGTGGATCATGGACATACACTCAGGCCAGTGGGAGTGGCGGAGGCAAGGGCCAGACCGCTGAGGAGCAAGGCGATAGTCGACATATTGATGACGGGGGCGATAGAGAAATGCCACACAGGAGATTTGGATCGCAGTTCAATTTTCAATTGGAGAATGGTGATGAGATATCAGGGGGAATATGCAGCCCTGGGCTTTTTCCGGGGCTTTATATAACTATGGAGTTGGAACCTGAGGCTTCATCAGCCCAGTTTCCCGCCACTTCAGCCATAAGAAGCTGAAAAGGAATCAAAGGTCGAAAATGCCGAGAGAGTTCTCAGCCATGAATTTCACTTCGGAGCCGTGCTGAGAGAGTGAAGCCTCAATGATGATTCACGAGAATGCCCAAAATTCATGCAAAGCTTCTACTAGGGGTGCCCGAGTAGCGCCAGCCATGGAGCAGATTTGGCCGGAACTGGCGCCCACAGGTATCCCCTGCAGCCACCACATGGTGAGCCTGGAGACGGTGGGCCTATGACGACGGTGCGTTGGCGAGTCATCCCATAATTTGTCAAGCCACGATGCCAATAATGTTCCTCTTTGAGCAAAGCGAGCTGAACCCCGAGGCAGCAATCCTTTGAATACGTTGGGCTTGCCTCTCCACACTCGGTGAGGCCGATAGAAGAGACTGGGCCCTCGTGAGCTCGTTTAGAATTTCCATCTCTTGTGTTTCGGTGGTGCAGAACTTTCGATTGCACTAGTGTGGTTACCTAGGACCATTTTGGGTGGAGCAGAAGGCACTTGAGACCGAGTCGGTATAGACAAAGTATAATGCGATTATTGTGGCGAGGAGTTCACCGGCAGTTCATTTGATAGTGTGGATTGCAAGGAACTACTCCGTGCAATGATTACCAGGTTAACCAAGACCTGGCAAAAGATCTAGATTCGACCCGCAGTATGAGTTTGTCCGGGGTAACTTACCTCACCTCGCAGTGTGCTTTTGTCTCCAAGCGAACAAAAAAGGAAAAGCCAGCCAGGCCAAAGGCTAAGCACGCGCTAGGACTACCGTTCCACAAGCGATAACTATAGACGAGGATCCTCGGCCAATGAACGGCCGGCACGGGGCGGTCCCGCTCTCATCAGTCCTTGTCACTGCTCGTCTGTTTCGGCTACGCTAGTTATCGGTCCCTTTTTGGCCATGCCGCCGCTGTACCTTGCCTTATCCTCTCACGGCCCCCTGGTTCCTGATCCCCGCTTTACCGCTCGGCAAACCCGTCCTATTTTCGATGGCAAAGAAAGCGTTGGAATTCCGATACCGATAACAGCCGGTTGGAATCCAGAACTATGGCGGAGGCGATCGTGCGAAATGCCGTGTATAATATAACCTTCGGGCTAGAACAGCTCGTTTGGGTCTTTGGGTCTTTGAAGTGTTGCAGTCAAGTCTGGTTTCTGCTCGTCTTTCTTCCCCAGTATAGAACAGACGTTCGTAATGGAGACACCAAAGACTACCACCGAGCACTTTCGTGCTTCACACAACCCTTTCGCCACACCGCCGTTCGCGACACCAGTTGGATCTATTCGGTCGCGAAGGCTCGATTCGGCTGTTGGTGAACCTCTAGGTGATTTTTCTTCGCAATATGATGTTTTCTGAATTCGCTAATCACGGAAACAGTGGCCCCAGCTCGTCCTCGCCGACGCTTCAGAAGTTCTCGACTGATCGGGAAATTCGAGAAGCCGTGGCTGGAGGATAACAAGAGAAGACCCAATTGGGATAGCATCATTTTCTACACTTGTGTTGGTATTGCACTGGGTAAGGTTTACGACTTTATCGAGCTGGAATGATTCTGACTGTCCTTGGAAAAAGCTGTTTCGGGTTATATCTGCTGGTCTGCGTACGCAAAGGTTCCCAAGCACGAGGTACGCACTCAATATCACCATCATCACTTTCTGGATTCGCAAATCATCTGACTTACACTCTCAAGTGGTGCATGGTTCTAGATGAAGACTTCGCGACCTTGGACCCCAACGTGTGGAACCACGAGGTCCAGCTGAATGGTTTCGGGTGAGAGCGCACCAATTCCGCTTCCGTATTGCCATCTTTGCCAACGTAGCATCATTTTAGAACGGGTTCCTTTGACTGGACGACCACCGATTCGAGAAACTCCTACGTTGACGGCGAAGGCCTTCACATCGTCCCAACCCTGACCCTCGAAACCACCCACTACACCGAGGCTCAACTTCTTAACAACACTGCTCTGAACTTAACCGCCGACGGAAGCTGCACCTTTTCGGAACAGCGCACGTCTACGCTTGTGGACTGGAGCCCATGCGCGGTGACGAGTAACACTTCCACCGGACACATCCTCCCGCCCGTTCGGTCCGCTCGTCTCACCACAAAGGGCAAGAAGACAATCAAGTATGGCAGAGTGGAAGTTGTCGCTAAGTTGGCAAAAGGAGATTGGTTGTGGCCCGCCATCTGGTAGGCTGTCCTTGCCTTTTTGAGTGTGGAAAATCAGCTAGCTAACCGACAATAGGATGATGCCCGAGGATTCTGTCTACGGCGAATGGCCCAAGAGCGGTGAAATTGATCTCTGTGAAGCTCGGGGCAACGACGCAGAGACTTATTCGCTCGGAAACAACATTGTGAGCTCAGCCATGCACTGGGGAACCTCGTATCTGAATGATGCCTACCTCAAAAGTACCTCAGACTGGGGTGCGCAGCGGACCAAGTACAGTGACGGTTACCACACGTATGGCCTGGAATGGACTGAGGATTATCTATTCACCTGGCTAGACGGTCGGCTACGGGTATGTATTGACAGAAAATAGCTTTGGTCAAACGGATGCTAAATTTTGTGGTGACTGCAGCAAATCCTTTACTTCGATTTTACCAAGAACGAGAACATGTGGACCTATGGGGACTTTGCCGGTAAGACGGTAAACGATAGCGTACCCAGCAATCCGTGGAGTCAGAGTGACGGCAAAAACGCTCCCTTTGACCAGGAGTTCTACCTCATCCTTAATGTGGCTGTTGGTGGCACGAACAACTATTTCCCGTAAGTTTCCTACCCCTGCTACTTTGGATCTAGTCTGACCAAAATTAATATAGCGATGGACTTGGTGATAAACCCTGGGTTGACGCCAGCACCAGTGCCATGAGGGAATTCTACATGGCCCAGAGCTCCTGGCTCCCTTCATGGGGTACACCCGAAGAACGTGGCATGATCGTCAAATCCGTAAAGATGTGGCAACAGGGAGCCTGTGCATGAGCTTTACTTTTGTGTCTTAATTTTTTGTGCTCTTTTATGTAATAATGATTTCCTTTGGCACGAACACGGAGGAATGGTAAGATAAGGCTCAATAAATGAATTTATTTCCCGTGAATCCTAACTTCCACATTTAAATAGAGTCTTCCTTTAGAAGAGTGATGAACGCTAGGTTTAGGACCAGCTCGCTGGGTAAAAAGATTATCAGTCAACAAAGCTCTAACATAGTTCAGCATCGGGGCAATGAGAAGTCGACTCTTCGCGCCGAAAGCCTCACGGGGATCCCCAATCTGTGAATTCACCCAATCGGCTAGACTAGCAGCATATCGTAAGGTCAAAATAGCCCTGCCATGGCACTGGCTGGCTGCATTGACCAAGTTCCAGGTGCTCGGATGCGGAACTAGCCAGCCTCCTCCTAGCTCTGCACCGGAGATAGACCCAGGATCTGTAGCCACTCGGTTCTTCCATGCCATTTCAGGCAAGATCCCTGTCGGTCTTGATGCTGACGCTTGAATTTAGAACTGGGTCGGAGATGCGATTGGTGATGACCCATCTATAGGGCTCCCCAAAAGATTGCGTACGCCTGAGCCTAGCTTTGTACGGTGTCTATGATCCAACCTTCTCCATCGCCATGCGTATCAGCTATTGTGCATCATCATGACGAGGTTCGCTGGATGCTGCTTAATGGGGAAACTCGGTGGAGGCTTCGATCGGCTAAAGCTTCTCCAGGCGCTTCGGTTACCTTTCTTTTGTAAGAAATTTTCGGCGTACCGAGAGGAGCAGCCAACTCATGGCAACAAAATTGTGTCGTTCTATCATGTTACTTATATTTTATCTCAGTACCGACTTGTCATAGCGGTGATGTCCAGATAGTAGTATTTACGAGTGCCGCCGTTGCCAAGCCGGCCGGTAGATCTCGAAATTTAGGTTATTACCCCCCTGCGGCAATTTAGAACTCTTGCCGCTCAAGTGAGAAAGTGACAGCAGCGACCAGCCAATTAGGTGGAGAATCGGGGCGTTCCTAGCGGTGCTCGGGCCTCGCGAACTGTTCCTGAAAATCAATAGCGGCACGAACCCTCGCCACAAATTGCCCGCGATCAGCGAGCCCCTCTGAATCATGGCGAACTGCTTTGACGGCCATGAAAGCCGACCCAACATAGCGCTTCCCAAGGTTGCCTTGCTACTCGCTAGCTATCCGGCGCACCCGAATTTGCCTGATAACAAACATCCCAACGTACACAGGACAAGCTGGATTACCCGAATAGTGCAGTAGCTAGCTCAATGCTGGCCATGGATCCACTCGAGCCCAGAGGTGGCCATGCCAGCCCTATCTCAGGCCGATATTGGATGGATGCCACTCCTCGGCTGTAGAACGCACTTCAGTATCGGCTTTCAGAGCCCCTTTTCAATAGTCTCAGTTGCCTCGACTTATCTGTCGTATTTCAAATCCCCATGCACCGGCGATGGCCGTCCTAGTTTGCCGCTCTCTCCATATCGAACTCTGGACCGGGGTTTTTTTTCTTCTTCGCTTATCAGCCGATTTCGTGTTGCTGACCTTAAGCTGCTGAGCTTTATTTGTTTTTATACATTCTGGGTCCTCTCAAGTGCGAATTTGGAGAGACAGCGGTTCCATAGATCTACTCCTCTGCGGGGTCATCCACTCGTTTCTCCTATAGCACAGGTCAGGGTGCAATCATGGGTACTAATCAAGCAGAAGCTTCCCTCGCTAAGGAATCGGCCAAGTCAGGAGAGTGGCCGCTTCCTTCAGTCGAGAGTCATATTGAAAGTCGCGTTGACAGTCATGCTCAGGAGGAAACTATCGAGCTTGGCTACTTGCCATCGAGGTCATCCACGCCGCACCTTGACACAGCGGAGGTTGGGCGGGTTCTCTTGCTCAGTCCTTTGCCTGGAATCTCTGCTCGCTCACGGCGAGGCCCGCCTTCAGTTGCGCATTCTCTGGCCTCTCCGTCAATCTCTGAGTCGGGGGAAGGGGAAGATCCTAGCTCGGTATGTTCCAATTTTCTCCAAAATTCATTCAACAGAAAATACTAACAATCGTTTAGATGGCGAGATACCTCGCCCGACGAGCAACTCTGCTTGGCTGGTTTGATGAAGGTGAAGTCGAGAGTGGCCTCCAACATTGGTCATCGACTTGCATCGCTCTTCGCCTGCCCGACGACGAGTATTCTTTCTTTCCGTACAATGTCAATCCAGCATTGGGTGATGCCATTACCCGGCTGGGTGAGACGGCTGCAGTTGCTATGTCATCTCGATTCACATCTACTTTGATCGACTCGATTATGCCGGGTCAGAAGAGTCTCATTGTCGAGAGCACCAGTGCTCGTATCCCTATTGTCTATTGTCTGAACGACGTCAGTTCCGAGCTGGCTCATTTTGCACGAGCTTGCATTATAGTGCAAGAGAGGCTCGTGCTGGTCTGGTCGCACGACGCCGGCGCCATTCTCAACGTGGCTTTCGATGTTGAGAGACAGCTTGGAAAGAAGGTGAGTGTTGAAGCTGCTTATTATGTGCACCAGTGACTGAAGTTTTCTCATTCTGCAGAACCGTCGTATCTCAAACGTGACCACCCCCCGCATTTCCGGACGCTCTTCTCCGCTCGACTTGGACACCGAGAGGCAGCTTTCAACTCAGGTCTCAACCAAGGCCAACAGCACTATTACCCTGGTCCGTGGAGCACTCGATGAGAAACATGAGGTATACAGCAAGGCCGTTGCCTTAGAAGAGGGCGTTGAGGATGACGAAACTCCCGTTGACCTGGAAGGCAACCTGGCTCCTAGGCCAGTACACCGAATCCATACATTCAAGATCAGCTTTGCTATCATGCTGGTGGTTCTGACGCAGTCGCTTGGTGTGTCTCGGGTGAGTTCGGACATCGCTTCTCCGGGTTTCCACTTTCGCCCCAATCTAACGTATCTGCCAGTTAATCCATGAGTACGCCTGGGACGGAAACTACATTCGATTTGCATTGGTAGGTTTACTCATCTCCATGTAGGTGGCCGCATCGTCATACTAACGCGGCACAGGTTGTGACCATTCCACCACTCGCGGTGTTCTCTTTGGTAAGTCTCTTCAGTGGCCATTTCGGATACCACTAACATGCATTAGTTCTTCTTCATTGTCCTTGTTACCAGCGCCTTCCAGCTTTTCCTCCCAGCCAGCTTCTGCTTGAAGAACTCCAAGTTTCACTCAGGTTTGTTTTCCCTCTCACTTACTACTCCATCAAAATACTGACCCACCATAGCTATCAAACCAAGCCGCAAGTTTCACCGTGACTATGAACTGCCCCATATCACCATTCAAATGCCTGTGTACAAGGAGGGACTCAAAGGGTACGAGAGCTATATCATAGTCTAAGGCGGAAAGCTAACACTCCATAGGGTCATTGTCCCGACGATTATGAGTGTCCTTGCCGCCGTTCAATACTACGAGGAGCAGGGAGGAACCGCATCCGTCTTCATCAACGATGACGGTATGCAGTGTATCCAGCCCGAGCTGGCCGAAGCCCGCAGACAATACTACCGTGAGAACGGAATCGGCTACACAGCCCGTCTCCCCAACAAGAAAGGATCTCAGAAGAAGAAACGAGGGGGCTTCAGTTGGTTCCGCAAGTCCAAGCCAGTCGAAGAGAGCACCGAAGCCGAGAACGAAGAAGACGCCACCAGCCCCCAGGCTATCGCGAACAAGATTGGCTTCGAGCGCAAGGGAAAGTTCAAAAAGGCCAGTAACATGAACTACGGTCTCGCTTTCTCGAATAGGGTCGAAGATGAAATGGTTCGCTTGACTGAGTTGGAGTGCCAACAGCGCGAATGTACCAATGATGACTTGACTGTTGAGGATGATGATCGGATCTACAAGCAGGCTCTCGCTAATATGCTCGCTGAAGATGAGGGTCGCACTTGTGAGTATTACTTTTCAATCCTCGCAGCGACAAAGATCTCTAACTTCATGCAGGGGCTGAAGGAAACATTCGTATCGGCGAACACATTCTTATGTATGTGGTCCTTTAATAATCTCCCGTGACGCGCTCTGACGATTACTAGCATCGACTGCGATACCCGAGTCCCTGTGGACTGCCTCCTTTACGGAGCCCTAGAGATGCACGAGAGTCCCGAGGTCGCAATTATTCAACACGGCTCCGGTGTCATGCAAGTGGTCCACAACACGTTTGAGAACGGAAGTGTGTCGTCCCTTCCAACACCCGATTGATGAATCACTAACTCACACATCAAACCCAGTCGCTTATTTCACCGACGTCGTCTACACAGCTATCAAGTACGGTGTCGGCGGTGGCGATGTCTCTCCCTTTGTCGGCCACAACGCCTTTCTCCGGTGGAAGGCTATCCAGAGCATTCAATTTGTGGATCCTTCGGATGGCCAGACAAAGTGGTGGTCTGATGCGCACGTCTCCGAGGATTTCGATATCAGTCTTCGGCTGCAGATGCAGGGCATGACAGTTCGTCTGGCTACTTACCACAATCGCGACTTTAAGGAGGGCGTGTCACTCACCTTGTATGACGAGTTGACGCGCTGGGAGAAGTATGCCTACGGTTGTAACGAGCTCGTCTTTCACCCCTTGTGAGTAATTTTTTGATCTTCGAAAGTTTCCACCTGCTAATGCGCGAGCCAGCTACCAATGGCCATACAGGGGCCCAGTGACGAAACTCTTCCTTCGTTTCCTATGGAGTAACATGCCTGTCACTAGCAAGGTAACCATCATTGCGTACATTTTTACCTGTAAGTCCCTCGAGCCTTCGTCACCAAATCCTGGCCTAATATCGACAGACTATGCAATCGCCTCCGGTATGCTTTTGGCAACTGTCAATTACGTCATTGTCGGTCTCTTCAACTCCGAAATCGATCACATCTACCTGCCATCGTGGGGTATTTGGATATCCTTGGTTGTCGTTTTCAACGGTATTGGCTCGGTTGCATTCAGCATGGCCCGTCATCAGCTGAAGGAGGTGGTCTTTTGGAAGGCCCTTCTTCAATCCACGCTGTGGCTCCCGTTCCTGATTATCTTTTTCGGTGGCATCAGTCTCAACTGTGCCAAAGCTATTCTGTGCCACGCGTTTAGCGTCAACATCGAGTGGTCGTCGACTGCCAAAGAGCCCGGTCCGTCTGGTTTCTTCATTGGTCTTGACAAGATGGTGAAGCAATTCAAGTATACTTGGGCTATTTGCTTGTTCCTTGGTGCTGGTATGTTTTTCTGGCTTTCCATGATGAAATACATCTGACTAACCTTGTCTTTTCTAGTGATGATCTATATGGCCCTCGGTACTCCTTGGGGCTGGAAGATTAAGCCTGGTGAATACTCGACCGCTACTATTGCGATTGCTCCGCTCGCTATCCAGATTTGCAATGCGGCCGTCCTCCCCCTGATCTTGGGTCTGAACTGATTATTTTCTTATTATACTTCTAAACACGACTTAACTATGAAATTTCCTTATGTCTTTTCTTTTTGTTTGAGACGGATTACAAAGAGTACACTTGTCTGGGTTTCGCTTTAGGAATTAATATACCAGAATGTGCTGCATATGTTAATATCGTTGAATTCAAAGCTTTATTCATAAAACAATCAAAATAAAAGTCCACTGCAAGTTCATTTCCACATCCTTTCCTCAAAATTGCAGGTAATAACACTGCGGACACCGCGACGTATGCTGTCAACATTTGCTGTGTCGACTGTGGTATCACTGGGTTCATTGGTCTCTGCGGAAACCTTGATTTTGACTTGACCGGTGTGCGTACATTCCCAACAGCAACTTGTCCGTCGTGACCGAGGCCTCCATCGTCGTCACCGACAGTTCTCACACGTTCTCTGTCATGCTCACCGAGAAGATGACGAAGGTGGCTATCTCGCGTCTCCGGCATATAGACCTCGAGCAGCAGCATTAGTGGACGCAATGCCTCATCTTCTGACTATGATGCGAGACCTTGTGAGTCAGTCGGAGCCCTCGTGAATATGCTCTCCGTTTTAGCCGCATGATAGGTGCACCTTTGCTGGTCACATAATTGCGACCACTATTCAACAATGCCAGAGCTACCCCAACCTCCTCTAGACTACTCTTTCAATAAAGACTAGAAAGTATAAAATATAAAATTCCGGGGAACCGTACGGAGGGACCGTAGTGCGGTCCTCGCTACTTCGCGGCCCTTAGTTTTTCTTTAGGGTCTGGTCCCGGTCCTAAGATTTGGCGGACCGGGACCCGGTCTTTGCCCAGGTCTAGGTGGGTGTTCCGGATAGCCGGGTGTTCTTGTTAACTGGGACGTACGTTAAGTTAGTTAGTTAAGTACTGAGTGATTACTAAGTAATTCTGCGTATAATCACTAAGCGGCCCTGGTTGGTCACTAAATAATCACTGAGTATTAGTCTTTACTTATATAACTCCACTGACCAGATTACTGAGTCTGAGCCTGTGCTGATATCTACTCACTAAGTCTGAGCCTGAGCGCCCTCATAAAAGCGGCGGCAGCCGAGACAGGAAAGCCCCACCCGCCAGACATTATCCTGTCCATATAGGTGCATATACCAAAGACCGCTCAAAGTAACCATATTCTTTTAAGAAATCCTTAAAAAGGGGGGAAGCTAACCATCTAGACATACCCCGTTACTGCAGGAATTTCAATAGCGCGATTGAATTATATGTCTCTCCTCGCTTTGAGCCCCTCAATCATGTGATTTGCCCTCATCCATGCAGCCGCGCCAGGCTCATGCACAAAGCTCACGGGGGCAAAGGGGCTCACTTATAAGAAAATATTTTCTCGTTCCTAAACACATTGTAGCTCTTAGTCTCATATTCAGTGAATCGCGATGATGAATGTATTGACAGAACGACAGGCAGCCGAATTGTAGGTGCTTGAACGTCCTTGCTGGCTTTCTACGGAGTACTAACGCGGTTATAGACACAAAGCTATGATAGGCTATCTGTCGTCCATCAATGCATCACAATGCGCCAAAATATTACGAGAAGAGCTACATCTGAAAGATTGCTTCTCAGACGACGCAGTCAAGATGTATGCGGGGCTACTGCAGCGAAAATGGACCAACGCTGCACGACTGCAGCGGAAGGTAAGTGGAGATAGCGTGTTGGCTGCCAGATCTAGGTAGACTGACGACTACCAGATCATGGAACTGGAGTCAAGAGTAGATGACCTACAATCCAAGCTATCTTCTCTTTCCCAGGCCTTAGCACGACCAAATTGTGATCCACATAATTGGCTTCCCAATACCGCAACCCATACCCTGGAGTCTCACAGGGGAGCCGTAACATGCATCGCGTTTCACCCAGTATACTCTGCGCTAGCTTCTGGCTCGGAAGACTGCACCATCAAGATATGGGATTGGGAGTTTGGTGGTCTGGAGAGAACACTTAAGGGCCATTTGCGAAGTGTGACAGGTGTTGACTTTGGCGGCCCAAAGGGCAAAATACTGCTTGCATCGTCCTCAAACGACCTCACAATTAAGATCTGGGATCCAAGTAAAAACTACGCCAACATTCGAACCATTTCCGGCCACGATCATACCATCTCCTCTGTACGGTTTTTGCGACCGGGTGCAAATATACTTGTTTCGGCCAGTCGGGACGCATCTATTCGAATATGGGATGCATCGACAGGATTCTGCACTAGGACGATACACTCGCCTGGTGACTGGATCTATAGCTTTTCCCCTTCCATTGATGGAAAGTGGCTTGTCTCCGGTGGCCGCGACCAAGCGGCGACAATTTGGGACCTTACATCCGGTGAAGCGAAGTCTTCTCTACTGGGCCACGATAATTATATCGAATGCTGCGTCTTTGCTCCGGCCGCCAGTTATCCATACTTGGCAAAATTAGCGGGGTTGAAAGGCCCTCCACCTCCCAACAGCTCGGCGGAATTTGTTGCTACAGGCGGAAGGGACAAGTCCATTAAACTCTGGGATTGGAGAGGGAGGTTGATCAAAACCTTGGTTGGCCATAACAACTGGGTCCAAGGGTTGGTGTTTCACCCTGGAGGGAAATATCTGCTCAGTGTGAGTGACGACCAAACTATTCGCTGCTGGGATCTCTCGGAGAATGGGAGGTTGGCAAGGACCATTGAGATACCTGGGGGTTTTGTGAGCTGTATTCGGTGGGCCCCCAGCGCGATGGGAAATTCAGAAGCCGAGCAGAGACCCGGCACCGCAGCTGAATTGCGGTGCGTGATTGGCACGGGAAGCACAGACTCCTGTGTACGAATATTCACATGAACTATGTTCTTTGCCTCTATAGAATTATTCGGGTGTAGATTATAGGTAGTAGTTAATAGAGGGCCCATCTCTTCGACTTACATTCCACATGCCATTCTATTGGAACAAATATGTGGGAAAGTTTGTGGCCTCCAAAGTCACCGAGACAATAGTGAGCTTCAAAAAGCTTTGCATACTTGACCGAGTTTCCTTTACAAGACATACTGTGAACCCTACTCAGACGAAGTCAATTATATCTTTGCAGAGCTTCAGATGGCAAAAAATTGGCGAGAATGGCCCGCACAAACGCTTCTCCTAAACCCGAGGAGCACCTGGTAACGAGCCAAGTCAATTGTCCAGTCATGGCGAATCCCAATTTCCTGCTGAAGATAAAGAAAGGTATGGCAAAAATTGGAGAGGACCGGGAGGTTGGAAAAACCGCCCCAACTCCACCCTTCCTTATCTATATAGCTGGGCTGTTACGGCCCCCACCGGCGATCACTTTCTTTTCCCTGTTGAAAATACTTGATTGGCTATTGTTTCGGTACATCTATTTTTGTACCGGCCCATTCTACAGTAGTCCTTTGTTGCCTGTCCTGCCATGTAAATGTGGCCCACCCTCTCTTTTGCACCCCCGTCGCGCCGACGATGTGCTTTATCCTTGCTTTGATATTCTGTATTCCTTACCACATCATGCAATGGACAAAAGTCTCCCCTGGCTGCTATGAGCGATCATTTGATTCTCTTGAGCACTTTTACCGTGTTATTGCCGATGCTGGTGCCCCGTTGAACAAGCAGCACTATCTGATTTAGTGCACTCTTCGACTCAAGATTCTGCCGCCAGTACATGAAGTTCAACATGCATGGAAGGCTCTCCGAAAGCAATACCCGCAGATTGCAGCCATGCCGGATGAGTCTGGCACTCGATTCCGCTACACCGTTCCATCCTCTACAGAGGTAGATGCATGGGTCCAGGAAACTTTGGTGGTCGATCCAGGGAGCTCCGCGAACGATATATACGAAAAAGAGCAGCCATCATCCCTCTTTCTGCTCTTTTACCTTCCCCAGGCTCGGGAGTTGCTCTTCCGTGTGCCACATTGGCGCATTGATGGCATCGGCCTGATGTATCTTCAGACCGCCTTTCTTCGCATTTTGTCAAATGGTCCATCCGAGGAAATCCAATTGGATGGTTTGGAGGCAAAGTATCTCGCTCCATCTCTAGATCAGGCTGCGGCTGTACAGCTTGAGACAACAGCAGCGACTTCTCAAGCTGCTGATGAGGAGCTGGGTGTCTTCATCCGCGGTTTACCATCTATATCGATCTCTACCCTACCAAATGTGATCCCGACCACCCCTCGGCGCATAATGTCTTATTTCTCTGAAGATATGACGCAGCGTATTATTAGTGCCTGCAAATCCTGTGGCCTCACTCTCACGGCTGCAATCCATCTGCCTTGGTCATCACCACGCTACCATATGCACAGCATGAATTCAATTCTGAGACTTGTGGCCAAGGCGGCGGCAAGTACACTGGATTCAATGCGATTGATCTCCGCAAGTATCTCCCGGTCCCTTATAATGGACCAGAGGCTGCAGCCAGCATTTACCATACTGGTATTCCTGTCAGCATCGATCTTGCTGTACACAAATATTTTGAGTCAATTGCCGCTGAGTTTCACTACGGCTATAGACGTAACTTGAGCAAGGATGAGCCGCGAAACATTTTTGGCTTCTAAGCAGAGTATGTTAACAAGGTACTTGAGCTGCTCAACACCCAGCCTCCAGATCCTTTACACGCCCCTGCTCATCCAGAGCTGAGCTCTATTGGATTGATCAATGATCACCTGCAGGCAAAGAATGAGGGCTCAGCATCGACAATTGACGTGGAGGAATGGTGGGTTGCCATTGAAGCTATCAATCGCCTCCTCCTCACAAACGTCTGGACTCGGAGCGATAGGATGTGTCTTTCCGTAATCTGGAACGAGGCTTTCTATGAGGATTCATTTGTCGTCAAATTTTTAGAAGAGTGGGAACAAACTGTGTTGAAAGAATTGGATGTCAACTAGTTATCAACAGCCCGTCTAGCTCATCTCATTTGCAGAGTCCATTACGGGTAGCAGACATATATTTTCGTAGCCTAAAATGACGAGTTGATTCACAAAACCAAGGTACTGATCTGTACTGGCTATGGGCGGTATCAGACTGACAGTCCCAAAGATATCGTTATTCATAACACCCCTTTAGATCCTGCAGCTTGGCTACCTGAAATCCCTGAGACTATGCTTAGGTTTTCTTAGAGATCCACAAAATAGAGTGGTAGTGGTAGTTAAGTTCTTTGTCGTTCGACAGGGCTGTGCGTTTTCCAGTCTACCTGTCCCCAGGAAGGAAACTTGAGCAAAACGTAGAAGAATGTAAAACATCTTACTTCATTCCCGTATAACTATTTGTCGATAGGTGGTCCAAAGATGATGATCACAATGAGGAGAACGATTCTAGGGCAGAGGGGACGTCTACGGAAGCTGATAGCGGCCACCCGAAGAAAGTGTATAATATGCATATTCTAGACCGCCCTAGGGACCGCTCTGTAACGCAGGAATCGTATTTTATACTATCTTTCCCATACAAAAATAGATTCTCCATTTTCTACTGACCCCCCCCATCTTGACGCCATTTCTTGCCGCTATCCTAGGTGGTAAGATGAAGCTATTCATACTATATAATCTGCTAACTTTCGATATCCCTAGGCGTTGAATACCCTCGCTGTCGCCCTCGCTGTCGCCCTCGCTGTCGCCCTCGCTATTTCCGTCGCTGTCGCCGTCGCTGAATATCCTCGCTGTGGCCGTCGCTGTTTCCGTCGCTGTTTCCGTCGCTGAATATCCTCGCTGAATATCCTCGCTGAATATCCTCGCTGTGACCGTCGCTGTGGCCGTCGCTGAATACCCTCGCTGAATATCCTCGCTGTAGCCGTTGCTATTTCCGTCGCTGTGGCCGTCGCTGAATATCCTCGCTGTGGCCGTTACTATTTCCGTCGCTGTTTCCGTCGCTATAGCCGTCGCTGAATACCCTCGCTGTAGCCGTCGCTGAATATCCTCGCTGTAGCCGTCGCTGAATACCCTCGCTGTAGCCCTCGCTATCGGCCTTGCTATTACCCTTGTTATGTATTACTCTCTACTATAATACCTCGTATCCCTCTTGACCTGTATAGGTAGGAGATCGAGGATTATATCTAACTTAGGCGCTCTACTGAAGCTATTCGTATTATACTGCTTAATGACTATAGCGTTAGTGTTATAATATATATAATTAATAACTGCCTATAGTTATAGAATATTAGCTATCTAGCGAAGTCTACCGAAGCTCTAGATAAGCGTATTTATAAGCTTCTCTATCTCTCTCTAAGCACTAAAGAGATTCTCTAAGTGCTTAAAAAATAGGGTATACCCTTATCTAAGCGTAGTCTTCGCAGAGCTCGTAAGCGGCTTAGAATAAAGCTTCGGGTCGACGATCCTAAAAAACGTAAGCGGTAGGAAGCTAAGATTAAAGCTATTCTAGGTATAGAGGACTAGATTAGAGATATTAAAGGCTATAGTTCTCGGCTATAATATATCTTCCTTCGTAACTAAGGTTATTTCTATCCTCGGTAAATTAAGGTCTATCCTCGTCCTTAGTAAGTAGACTACTAATACTTATTTAGAGATAGAATCTACGAGGTCTACCGTAGAATCAACCCGGAAGCTATCGAACGTCATCGGTTAGACCTCTAACGCCGGAGAGGAGCTTATACTTACCCTAGGCTAAACTAGATATAGTATATTAATAGTTATATAAAGCTAGAACCCTTCGGATTCGAGATATATACTACTATCGATAGATACTCTCGATATATTATATAGATCTACGTAGGAATCTCTACACGAATAGTAATAAGCGTACTATATTAGTATCTTGACTACGTAGCTTCGACGGGCTTTCTACCGTACGTTATATAGGCTAATCTAGGCTTAGAAATAACGATAATTAGTAATACACATCTCGCCCTTCGCCGGTCAGTGTTACTATCAGCCTTACTATTAGCCTTACTATTAGCCGAAGCGTTACTATTAGCCGAAGCCTTACTATCAGCCGAAGCCTTACACGAAGCGTTACCGTTAGCGTTATATCTTTAGCTAGAAGACTACTTCTTCTACGGCCGAAGCACTAAGAATTAATAGATTAAATCCTAGTAGGGATAGCTCGCTAGCTCGAGCGTCTTCCTCTACTATAAATATTTCTATATACTACACCGTAATAGGATCTTTTTAAAAGAGTCTCTTCTAGAGTAGGTATCGCTTCTTACTATCTATATACCTATCCTCCGAGCTCGTATACACTTATATACGAATATTTAGAATATATACTTAATTCGGCTATAGTCTAATAGGCTAGACACTATCCTAGGGAAGCTAGTTATAAACTACTACTATCCCGACGCCGACGTTTAAGATTACTAGCAATCTTTTAATTAAGACCTCCTTCGAAGACTATAGTAAGATATAGAAGGGTAGGATTCTATAGAATATCTTCTACTAGCGACCTTAGTATAGTATCTCTCGTAGCTTTAGTAAATTAGGTAGTAGCTTATAGGCGTTAGCTTTAACCCTAAAGATCCACTACTTCTACTTAAGGGAGAAAGAGACTAGCTATATGTTACGGACCTCAAGAAGGCGCGGGGACCGCAGTTATTTGAGGAGTAACCGTGAACCAATCGTCCACGGACGCTAAGGAGTAGCGTCATCACGTACGTTTCGGTATACTTAGACATACCCCGGAAGGCCCTAAGACGTTCCGGAAAGAGAACCAGAAACGGCCTATAGCTAACCACTACGGACAACACCTACTTATATAATAAGGTGGTTAGTGCAACATAGGAAACGGCTACCATTTTACCCGCACTCAGATTACGTCCTAAGTACTAGGTACTAGTAAAACTATACGTAACCTCCAGTAGTAGAAGGGTAGATTAGTATACGGGTAGATCGTACTAAGACTTATCTACTACTTAACTATCTACTACTTATACTATCATAAAGGACTAGATATATAAGGACACTCGTTTAGTATTATATATTTAGTTCTTCGCGATTAATTATATATTATTACTTAGTTACTACCTTTAGTACTCTACTTTATAGTTTACCTTTAAGATAACCTAACCTACGAGTAGGGGAGCTCACTTCGTAGCAACACTTAGTAACTAACCTACTTAGCGTATACCTCTAGTATATTCTATAAGATACTTAACAGGACCCGAACCTAACGTAAGGCTAAGTATAGCAACGGTACGGTTACGAGATACTCTTAGAATCTGTAGTTAGAACTAGGTAAGTATTACCTAGACGCTCTAACTTACAGTAACTAGTCGGCACCGCGTAATATATTAATCGCCCTATCTTTAAACCGTAGAGTATAGTTATTATAGTAGGTAATAATAGCACCTTAAGTAACGTTTCGAGTAGATCGAACGCTATACCTACTAATACATAACTTATAGAGATAATATCCTAGTTATAAGAATAGCTCGTATAGGTAAGTAATATCTATATACCGGCTACGGTTAAACTACCGAAACCTAAGTTTTACTATAGTAAATAAACTAAGCTTCGTTCTTTCTTAACTTAAATAGATATATAGCTCCGCTTAATTAATTATATAGCAGAAGCTAATAGAGTGATCTACGCTTCTATCTACCTCCGCAGATAGGTATTCGAATAGTTTAAGCCTTACATCCGGGAATTTAATAATAAACCCCTAGGGGATTAGGGAGACGTTACTAAAGAAATCTTCGTATCCTACAAAACTTTTAAGAAAAAATTAGAATAAACCTTTAGTAATATCGATACCGTAAGAATAGTAGAGAGACGACTTAATCAGCTACGATAGACTAGATTAGCTAGCGTATACGCCGCCGAATTCTAATAAATTATTTCGTACCTTAACTTCGACGACGATACCTATATTTAGCTCTTTAAATAAGGACTTAAGGAAGACGTTAAAGACGAACTTATAAGGATTAACCGACCGGAAGAACTTTATAAGATAATTAAACTCGCGGTTAAATTCGATAATCGACTTTATAAACGTAAACTCTAGCGATAGGAGTAGCGATAAAGAGATAACCGAGGGACGGTACTATACTAATACCGCTACTACGAAGATAGGCGAGGATAACGATAAAACTAGCCGAGGGAGTTATATAGCGACCCCTACGGACTACGACTAATAGAGCTTAACGTAGCGAGACTCCCGACCGAAGAAGAAAAACGGCGGAAGGATAATAACCTATACTTCGAGTATAGGAAGCTAGGACATTAGGCGTATAAGTATAATAAATATAATAATATAAAACTATAGATATATAAGCGAGATAACGGACGTAATAACGTAAAGCTATAATAGCTAAGGGCTACTTAGGATAGTAAGGTCCGACCCTAATAGCTACGAGTAACTAAGGGGCCTAAAGAATAGGAACTAAGCCTAGAAGAGGCCGAATACGCCTACGACGACCGAGTAGAGATTATAAAGAACGCTACGAAAAGTAAAACTACGGATATCTTTACGGACGATATCGAATACTATAGCCTAAATAGCGTAGAGTATATAATAGAGAACTTCCCCGAGATAGACTAGGAAAATATCGAGAGCTAAAGATAGACCTAGTATAGTCCCGGGAATACTATTAACTCCTAGGAACTATCCGATAAGTACTAGGAGTAAGACGTAGGGATCCTAAAAATACTAATCGAGATTCTAGGAACCCTAGAGATCCTAGAGACTCTACCCTAGCTCCTAGGGACGGATATAACTAAATAGCCTTAAGAAAAACCCTAGAAAGCTAATATTATTATAGATATTAAATAACTATAGAATAAACTCTAAAACTTATTTTAAAATAAAGAGGGAAATAGTAGTTAGATAATCGATAAAGCCCTCGAAATTACTAATTAGTTATACGAACTATACTAGTTAAAAGTAAAGATCGAGGACGGACTCTATCTATACTAGTAGGATAAATATATATACTAAAGAT